GAGTGAGGCGGCGTGAATGCAGGACGGCGCTGGCCCGGCTCTGGCTTCATACGGCGCTGGGGCTGGCGGGGGGGAGTCTCACAGCGCGGGGGCCATTGTCCCTCCAATCTCCAGAGGATCAAGCCAATATCATGAATCAGGAAGCCCAGCAGGGGAAGGGAGGGGGGGCACTCAACTTTCACCCAGGAGGATCAGAGCCTGAATGGGTGCAGAGTTACAGTGCCCCCCCCCCCCCCCGGATCCAGCAGGGTCGCAAAGCCCGGCCGGGCCCGGACAGACGGAGGGAACGGGCCGTCAGCTTCGTGATTCTCCTTAAAGCAGATGTTTCTTAAATAGATTGTGGTGTGATTTTTAATGTGAAATGTTCATCGCACAAAGTGTGAAAAAAAAATTCCAATCACTGCTGAGCTTTAATGTTTTCAGTGTTTGATGAAAATTCAGCAGAACACAAACCGCAATAATAAACTAAAAGAGGTCAAAGTCTCTGATGAGGTACCTTCATCACTGCCTGCTCTTTATTAACCCCTTTAACCATAAATAATTTACAATTAAATTAAAACCAGGAGTTTGATTTGAATCAATTTTTTTTTTTGTGTGTGTTGAGTAAAGCGAGACCTTAAGAGGGGAATTCTTCAAATGGAAACAGCAGCAGGCTGCTCCCGTCAGGGTGAGCTCTGGTGGGCCTCTGCTCTCCGGTCAGACAGCAGGCCGCAGGGCTGCAGCCGGCCTTACACCACTACACCTCCTCTGAAAAGCCCAGCGGCCCGGTGAGAATCCCATCACCCCCTAACGGCGCTCACAGTGGGGGGGCACAGCAGAGACGACAAGCTGCACCTACTCTGTGCCCCGCGTTGGTTTTCTGTTTACAGCCTCCGTCTCTATTGTGTTTTCAGGCCGGCCGCTTTCAAGTGACAGATGTGTGGCACTTCTGAACTCATCATGTGGTCGTTTAGGGGCGCTTTAGACTGCGATCCACCACCAGGACGCCGGTTCACCGTCCCAAAGGCAGAGGCTCTGAGCGGGAGTGCATCAACAGAAAAGAGACCAAAACACACCAGAGCTGGGACATAAAGTACAGCAGCTTTAGAGGGAAATGATCTCTGCCGTCACATCCCACTTTGTAACCGTAGACTGAACTGAGAGCACTTTAATGAGAAAATGCTAATTATTATGTTGAATTATTATGTTGTGTATATATATATATATATATTATGTATGTTTAATTTGAAAAAACTATTATTTTGACATTTTAAATTTCTGTTTAAAAAAAGGCTAAATCTAGATTTAAAATTCAATCTTGTTTGGCTGTTAAATAGCTTTTGTATGTAATTGTTTAGTCTCAAAATGGCCCCCCTGCACATCCTCCACAGGCCGCATCAGTTATCCAAAAGAAGAAAACAGGAAGGGAAAAACAGCAATTTTTCTTTCTTTCTCTGGAAAAACAACGTGTATATTAACACAGCTGAGCTCCCATCAAGCTGCTTTTATTTCCCTTTATTTGTATTCTGTTTTTCAGACGTGATTGAATGGCTGCGTTTCCCGTCAGCTGGCGTTGGCTTAAAGCGTTTCCAGACCGCGGCGCCGGCCGGCAGCAGAGCTCACGTCTTCCTCAGAGGAGGGCGGCGGCGGGCTGTCCTCAGCCCGGGATCCGTCCTGTGGATGTAAAGCGGGACGCCTCACAGGCCGGTCAGACTGGGACCACATGCAACCCCACCGACCAATGCCTGGAGCAAGTCTCAGCATGTGTTCACAGAGCAAGTTTGTGGACTTAAAAGCAGCTTTCGCTGAGCACGCGTGCTGCTGTTGAAGCTGGAGGAGGACGGAGCGGCGGCGAGCCCCAGCGCGAAAAGGTGAGCCGGGAGGGTCGGCCATAACTCCGGCACTCGGTTGGTTTACAGTCTGCCCCCACCCCCCCCACGCCTCCTGGTGACCAGAAAGCCAAGGAGTGATGGAAGCGTCGCAAAGGGCTGGCACCAGCCAGGCTGCAGGCCTCTGAGCAGCACAATAGATAAATTGTGCTGATACATCTGGTTCTTATGAATCTGCCCCGTTAGATTGTGGTTAGCGGAGGCGTGAGAGCACCAGAGCATCCTTATAAATGATTAAAGCGTACTTTTTTAAGAAGCACAAAAGCTTTTCCAATCCCACGTTGCGTGCCCGCTGCCCTGTGAAGGCGTTCCAAACCAAATGAACGCTGCAGGACGCCCCAGCACAGGTCTGCCAATCGGTCCTTACATCACACCTACACATCCCCTCCAAGACCACTCAAACATCTTCCGCATAGCGTTTGGAGTGATAGTTTTACAACGGCAGGTTAAAATGAAGTGTTCTCTAAGAGTTCAATCAGAAATCTGACATGTGAGTAATTCAAACCAAAAGTTTTGCTCGTAGAGCGAGCAGGATCCGCATTGTGGTCTATCCTGCCAATTTTCCCTGAAAGGGAACCTTGAAATAAAATCCATTTAAGCCCTGTGTCTTCCCCTCAAGAGTGTAGTTAAGTCGTGGCTGTGCATGGACATGATTAGAGACTGCTACGGCTCTTATATCAGAGCACAACCCTGACATCCAGCAGGAAACCTGCAGCATGGGTCAATTATGGCAATATCTTGTTTTGCTTAAGAAGGGTGGATGTGTTCTTCACGCTCCGACACACAGGCCACACCTGAGACTCTCTAACTCTAATGCTGCCCTCTCGTACGTCCACCAGTGAGCAGAGCGAGGCAGATGGAGGCCGCTCAACACCTCAGCTGGGCACCGACACTCAGGGCTCCGTCAGGGAGGCGCCAGCAGCTCACACCCATCCAACGTCATCACCTTTTATCAGCCCTCTGTTGTACCGGAGAAAGGATCAGTGTTTACAGGCTGAGAACCACTCCCAGAAAGTCCTGACTGAGGGTCAAAGCATCAACAGATCCACGAAGGAAAAGCTTTAGATCCAGAAAACAGGAAAAACATGAAACATTTAAAAAAAAAAAAAAATTAAGATGGCATCTAAGGCCCTTAAGCACCAGTACAGTAGCAATAATTAAATTCCTCCCGTTTGGCCTGCTGTTCCACACTGTCAGCTCACAGTAAATCATTAACGGGACCGCAGAACACTTTTGTTCGAAAAATTACACATTAACCAGACAACAATGCAATCCCAAAAGGGGTGATTTGCATCTCTGGCAAACAGTTGTACCGAACATTCCGATCACCGGGGACACGCAGCATCGTCTGGGCTCACACTGAATAAGTCCCGTTAAGAATTCCTCACCTGAAACGAGGGAGGCTGGCGGCGTTAGACTGCACTTTGTGACTGCACGGTTCACACTGTAAAAGTAGCTGCCGCCAAAATGATTCATTCATCTAATACATGAAAGTTTGTGCAAAAATCTAACTGTGAATCCATCCTTTTCAGATGGCGCCTTTTCTCACATTTAAAGGGTCCCTGTTCAGACCAATAATGGCTACACGGCGCCATCTTGTGTTGAGTTACGGAGCCGCTGGCGGGCTCAACACTCACTTTCGCAAAGAAACCTTTAAGCCCACGTACCAGAAACAAAAAAAAAAGATCTTTTTGGATCATTTTATTACTTTTTTGACAAATATATATGAAGGTTCTCCTATTAAGGAAACATTCTTCTCAAAGATACAGCAAATTAATTCCTGCCAGGAGACAGGAAACATGGGGAATAATCAGAAGATAGAACTAACCATTTCTAGTTGTGCCCAGGAAAGATAAGGGTGCAATTACATGATTAGAATGAGCTAAGGACAGTGAGAGAGAAATCAGCCTGGGATTTTTTCTCAAAATGGAAAAAATATTTCTTTCAAAAAAGCCAATGGGACATTTTTAAACGTCTGCATTATTATGAAACATGAGGGGAATTATAAGTTTCTCATCAAGGCACAGGAGAATTGATAACCGTGAGTGGGGCGTTGACATTGGTCCCATTGGGCAGAACAACAGTACAAACTACAAACTTAAAGAAAAACAGGCCAACGGGCAGGGCTTTGGAGGATGACGACCAAATAAAAGCTCCATAATGTACAGAGAAAGTCTGTGTTGGGAAGTCCTGGGTGAACGCGTCCGGCCTTCAGCGCGGCGCTGGCCACGCCCTCACAGCGCCTCCTACAGAGGATGGAGCTCAGAGAGCGACTTCTTCTCCAGCTGATTGAACTCCTGCAAGCTCCTTTTTCCCTGTCGAAAGTTGCTCTCCCTCCTTGAGAAGGGCAGGATGACCAGAAGTCTGAGGAGAGTCTCTATGTTGGCAAAGCTTCTTATCTGCGAGGTCTTGAGCGTGTCGAGCACGGTGGTGGGATGGTAGCCCGCCAGAGGATCCAGCCACTTCTCCTTCCAGGCCTTCATCTCGGAGTGCAGGGAGGCCTGATCGGGCAGGTCCTCCTTGTACAGGCGGAACACGAGCCCGCTGAGAATGCTGGTTTCCACTTTGGACATTGCATAAGGCACAATCTCCAGACATCTCAAGGTATCCAAAACCTTTTCTGTGAACAGGTCGTTGATTTCTGCTATCGAGTGCTCCACCACCTTGGTGCTGAGGGACTCTTTGTAAAACTCGCTCAGCGGCTCCAGGAGCACCGGGTGCAGCATGGCCACGTGGAGCTTGGAGGCCAGGGCGACGGCTTCCTCGAACCAGGCCTTGTGATGGACGTCCATGTCGCTCTGAAGCTTCCCGAGGGATGCTTTGACATCAGGCAAGCCATTCACAGCCAGCAACATGTCCAGAGGCTTTCCCTGAAGAGCCTGGCTCAGCTTTTTAGTCACGCTCAAAACGCTCTTCTGTACCACAGCAGAAAGGATGAACTCAAAGTTCCTGACGGCGTCAAAGAAGCGGGCTGCTTGCTGCTGGTTCACAGTGCTTTCCTCCCCTCTCAGCTCATTCAGGCAGAGCACCACGGCCTCTAAAATCTCTACCAATACCTCATGCATGTCGTGACTCTTGTCCCAGTTCTTGGTGAGTCTGTCCCTCAACTCGCTGCCCTTTGCTTCGTCGTGCTGGAACACATAAATGATCATGTCCTCCAGCTTGTTTTGGCGCTCGGCGTCCTCTGTGAGCCAGTGTAACAGTCTACCTATGAGGCCGGCTGCACCGGCCGCCTCCTCGGCTGGGGAAGATTTGGCCAGCCACACATTGAGAGACAGTGCAGAGCTGATGGTTCTGATGGCCTGTGGGTATTTGTCAGCTAAAGCTGCGCTTACTGCCCTCATCTTAGAGCCCACTTCGCCGACACTCAGCATGGCCTGCCCCCTGCAGTACTCCATGTTGAGCCCCCACTTCTCAGACAGGGCAGTTTCAATGGCCTCCGCCAGAACGGCAGAGTCTTCGCTGAAAGGGATGAAAGCCAGCGTTTCCTCACACTGGACGTCCTCTTTGTTTAAGTACCTGATGCACAGCGGGACGTAGAGCTCGCCGTTGATTTCTACCGACTGCTCGGTTATAACCGTGAAGAACTGAGAGTCCCAGAGCTCCTTGATGATTTGCTCGCGTAGTTGTGACTCGTAAAAAGAAACTGCAGCTCGAGGTCCTTCAACAAGGTCCAGTTTCTGTTCCTCATCAGTGGATTTTGAGTCTCCATCAGCAGGTACGCCAGTTGTTTCCGGCTTCACCTCGAGGCTTCCTAATTGGGAGAAGCCAGAAATCCATTTAATCATGTCGTCTTTCATGAACAAACCAGAAAACACTGAAGGTATGACAAATGTTAGAAGTGCACTTACCTCTATCCAACTTTAGTCTCTGTAGAGTTGCAATGACCTAAAACAGATGTACAGCTTTGGTTATGGAGACTCCAATTGCTTCTTTTACAGAAAAATGATTCGATAATGTGAGACTTTAGGGAAGCGATTCAGCGATTCAACAGTTGAAAGACGAATTGCAAAATGTATGTCGGATTACAGAAAATACGAGGCCATTTCACAAGGAAAGCTAAAAAAAAACATTTAAATAGAAGCCAGCTCAACCAGAGTAACCTGAATATTTTTTCATGCCAAGTGAACATTTCAGGAACTAATTCAAAGATTTTTTATGGACAAAAGCATTTTAATTTAAAAGGCTGATTGGGATACAAATGGTTACTGTAACCAAACCAATCGGACGATTCTAGTTACCTGGGACAGACAGGGCGTGCTCTCAGGATCGACCTCCATGCACTTCTCAATAACTTCCGGCAGCCTCTGTAGTGTTGTGCAGTGAGAGATGAGCATCACTTGATTTGTCCTGCTGCCTCTGCAGACGGTGTTTTTGTAGAGATCCCTCATGGAGTTCAGGGTGGTCTTCATCAGGTCACACTCCATGCTGACGCTGGGCAGCACGGCCACCAGCCGGAGCAGTAAGGACACAGCTGGGTGACTCTTGGACTCTGGATGGACTAGCACTTCAGCAATGGACGTTGGAGGAGCGACATCCTGGTATTTCTCTGTCCAGACTGCAGCCCAGGCGTTGATTTCCTGCTCGGCAGCTTCCGGCTCAGGGAGATCTGTCAGGTAGAGGCTGAAAGGCTTTTCTGGGGACTCTGACAGGATGGCGTGTGGATTACACGACGGCAGCAGGGAGAGAACTGAGAGGGCCTTCAGGTGGCTGTCAGAGAAGCAATATTTCATTTCATCGACAAGACTTTGGAGGAGTGGGACGCTCAGGTTTTCTCTGTAATAAATCTCCGGAGAATCGTAGCTGTTGGCTTCCTCTGAGAAGCACACCTGTTCAGGAGCCACCTTCGTTGCGAGCTGGAATGCTTGTTCAAACCAGGCAGAGTGCAGCGTGCTCACGTTTTCTAACATTTTGCCGAGACTCTCGATGATGGAAGGGATTTTTTCCACTTCACAGAGGATGTCGGCGGGGTTTCCGCAGCGGAAAACGGTGCTGCAGTTCCTGAGCGGAGCACAAGCGTTTTTCAGAATCACTAGGGTGACGATGAAATCCACGTTCCTCAGAGCGGTGGAGAGGACCTGAGCGTGCATCGACTTGGCTCCGGCGCTGCTGGAGCTAACTGCATCCAGGCAGCTAAGGATGCCCTCTAACGTATCAGCCAAGATGTCAAAGAAGTCCTCCCTCTTTTTCCACCTGGAGAAACATGTTTCTGGAACTTCCTCTAAAGCCTCCCTGGGCATATCCAGAAGCCCATCAACAGCTTGTGCTAACTGCCCTTCCAGACAAGGAGAATCATCAAAGAAGAGCAGCAGATCTTCTGTTATGTCCAGCATTTTGGCCACTGAGGGGCAGGGCACGCTGCCGGCGAGCCAGTGGGCCAGACCGCACGACTCGCTGGGCGTCACCACGCAAAGCGGGTAGCTCTGCAGGAAATCCAAAGACATCTTCTTGAGGCTTTGGTATCCTGAGCCCAGATGCATGAACGCCTGCCCTCGACACTGAGACATGGGCAAGCCCCAGTCTTCTGTGAGAATCTTAGCCAGGTTGCTCGCTTGCCTGTCAATGTTACAGTTTTCGTCAAAAGGTAAGAAGCCCAGGAGCTCTACCTTTGGGGCAGACTCTCCCACGTACCTGACGAATACAGGCAGGTGCGTTTTGTCAGCGGCTCTCACAGGTTTGTCTGTGATTAGCGAGAAGAACGGGGATTCCTGTATTTCTTTAAGAATGACATCTCTGATTCCATTGATGAGGAGGGTCACCATTTCATCATCGCCGATAGAAGGCGTGCTTTTGCTCTCCCTTCCAAACCAGTGGCACATCCCGAGCTCCTGCACGAGAGGCTCTCTGTCGTCCTCCGACAGGTCACAAAGGTGGACGTTCTTTTTGCCCAGAACTGCTGCCAGCCTAAAAACCGAAGCCAGACTCTGACGATTATCCCCCGTGTGCCCATTCTCAACTTCTGCCTTGATGTCTTGATCCTGCATCTTCTCTGGGGATTGCTGAATTTTGATCTCCTCTTCTTCCTCTTTAACACAATCAACTAAACACATCAGGGAGAAGAACAGACAGTGAAACGACAAACAGGTCAATACTTAATCTCTGTGTGTATAATGGTAAACTTTTTGTATATTAACATGCATTTGCAGTTAGATTTATATTTACAGAATAATAAAATACGTAGGCAACTTGATTTGCCAGTTTTACTCTTTGCTCCTCGTGGCTCTACTCTCTCTCTTACAACAGTTACATCTGTTGAAATGATCTCCACATTTCCACATCTGAAGCACGATTGGCCAAACACTTCATTGATCTCTTGCTTATCTGCTCTATCAATTCACTTGACAATCAATGTGCTTATCTCTCACTCCAAAGAAAGATAAATGCCATCTGGACCCAACTAAAAGCATACCTTCCATATTATTTTCAGAGTTCCTGATGAGACTCTTGGACTCCTTATCCTGTAACAAAAGCCAGGTGCATCAAAGTTACTCTGATGTTCAAACTAGAGTCAACAGAAAAACACATTTATCTCAGTTAAAGGACACTGGTACATACCAGACAGATTCCCTCCAAAGCTTGTGGAGTGACCTTCAGACACTGGGTCACCATGCGGTCCAGGTCTCTGCTGAAGTCCGTGCCCACCTGCAGCATGGCCAAACAGGGGGAGCGGTCTTTGGGACTGGTGTCTCTCAGGTAGTCTTGGAACTTCTTGTGGCGCATCACGACCCCACAGTCCTCCAGCTCCGTGCTGGGGAGCACCGACATGATTCTCAGCAGGGTGTTGATGTTCCCAAAGTACTGCATGAGCGGCAGGCGTAATGTGTGGAAGATGGAGCTGGGGATGGTCACGGACGCCACTTTGGTCTTCCACGTGACTCTCCAGCAGCACAGCTCGGTGAAGAAGTTGTCGGCGTCGGGGAGGTCGCTGCTGTAGAGCGGAGGCTTCGACTTCAAGCTCTCAAACACGTAACTCACTGTGACGGAGCACGGGACCAGCGACAGGAAGTTGAGAGCCTCTTTGTGGTCCTCTGAGAAATGATCCTTCACAGCATTGATGAGGTTATCCACGAGGGGCACACTCAGGCAATCTTTGTAGTATCCCACTGGCTTTATCATGCCGTCTCTTGGCATGGAGTTTTCAGGCACTTCAATCTGAACTCTGAGACTCTGAGCCATGGCACAGGCCTCGTCGAACCAGTTCTGGTGGAACACCTTCATGTTGGTTTTCACTCTGTTCAGAGTGGCCACGATGCCACTGATCTGGCACAGCTGGGACGCAGCAGTGAACTGGTCCTTCTGGATACCTGCGCTGAGCTCTCGGGTAAAAGAGGATGCGTTCTTCAAGACCACCATGGCAATGATGAAATCAAACTCCATGACTTTGCGGAGAAGGGCTCCTGCTTGCTCCGACGCAAAGGACTTCCATCGCTGCGGGTTGCTTTTGACTTTCTCCAGGCACTCGACCAGAGGCTCCAGCATCTGCACAAACACCTCATAGGAGTCGTGCTTCTCTTGCCAAAGGGAGCAGAACTTGCCCTGCAGCTCCTGGACTTTCTCGTAGCTCTCTCTAAGGCCGTAGGCTATCACGTGGTCAAGCTGCTTTTCCAGTGCAGAGCTGCTGCCAAAGAACATCAAGACCTCCTCAAACGTATCAAGGGCTCTTTTCACCGCAGGCACAGGGATGGATTTGGACCACCACGTGTTAAAAGAGTAGGAAGAACTGTGTGTGCTTATAGCAAGAGGGTACTTCTCCTGAACTTTACAGGCAAAGGCTTTCAGCTTGTAGGAGACATCCCCGGAGCCGAGGTACGCTTGACCTCTGCAGTTACTCAAATCGAGGTGCCACTCCACAGTTACTATCTCTAAAAGGCGTTGTATCATGACCTCACAATCAAGATCAGCCTCCAAAAAACCCATCAGCTCTAATCGCATGACATCAAAACTGTCCACAAACCGGAGGAAGAGGGGAAGATAGTCCATGTCCCCCAGTTTTACAACACGGTCTATGATTAAAGAGAAAAACGAGTTCCCTACTTCCAAGAGGATCCCCTCCCTGACGGCGTTCTCGCACACGTTGAGAACTTCTTTCATTTCAGACTTGGTGACATACTCTACTTCTCCATCCTGAGGACAGGTGTCTCGGTTTAGCTTGCTGTGACTGCTGTACGCAGCCACCACCGCCGCCTGCAGAGCAGATTTAAGGGCATCTCTGTCCGTCTCTGCACATTTCAGCTCCACGAGCCTCTCGGCGTCCATCTCTAGATTTATGAGCTGTAATTCTTCTTCTGTATCCTTTTCTGCGTGGTTTCCATGGACTGCCGCTGAAATGAGAGGTCACAAAAACATTAAATCACACCGACTGTCAAAATTAAGATTTAATCGTATTAGTTTATTAAAAATCTGTGAGCATCAAGTATATCAAACCCTGCTATCTCACACAGGTGCTTCTTTATTTTGTAAAAATACATGTATCAGAAGGCCCTGATTGGTTTTCCACACCCCTCCCCTTTATCATTGTCCAGCCTAAAGTCTGACTGAGACAGATTGCTTTTTTTCCTTTTTTTTGACAGGACTGTGGACACCCACACAGCCTGAGAGAAAGTGAGCCATCAGCTCTCTTGACGACAGAAATAGTCAATCCTGCCTCAGCTGTGAGACATGAGTGTCCATCACTGTTTGTTTCTGTGAAGAAAGCCTAACACAGCCTTCTGTGAAAAGTAGCAATTAGTGCTGAACAAACACTTTCCTTTTTTGTTTTAACTGGTGTTGACGTGGCTTCTGTGTGTGGTTGCATAAAATATTACAGACATCATCTATTTAAGTCTTCTTACCTTGTGGAGGTTTTTCTGCTGCGTCATCATCCTGAAACAGCCAGAAAAGCACATGTTACTCAGGATGAACAGCGAGCTGGTAAAACTCAAAGGTGCTTCTGAACGTCTACTCACCCTTTGCAGCAACTGCAGGATATCTGGATGCTTCTGGACGTATGAATCCACCATTTGCTCCACGCTGAAGTGCACGTCCTGGTTCACATACACAAATGCCATACTGCACTGCCTCTGGTCCTCTGGAGTTGCGTTCAGGTAGGAGCTGCATCGCTCCAGCACCATGTGGTACTGGCCGTAGACATCAGCCTCTGCATTTACACAGGGAACAGTGCCCAACACCCTCAACAAGCTCTGCACGTTTGGGTAAAAACCAATATCTGGAATCTTCAGAGTCGCAAACACTGTGGTTGGGAGGATCCTGCGCTTGCTCGCATGCCTCCACTTCACCTCCCAACATCCCAGCTCCTCGTAGAAGGTGTCGGGCCGTGCCAGGTTGTTTAAGTTGGCATCTGCCACTTTATCCCTGCGGATGCTGAAGTTGTGATCGGCCATGTAAGACGGCACTAAGGACAGCCATCGGAGGATCCTCACCATCTCTGTGCTGAACACTCTCTTCACCTCTGCAACCAGGTACTGCAGCATAGGCCGACTCAGAGTCTCTCTGTAAAAGTCCTCCAGCGGCGTCTCGGCCGCGTCGGCTTGATCCACCTCTGGTTTAATGACCTCCACACCCAGCTTCTTCGCTCTGCCGACTGCGTCTGAAAACCACTTCCTGTGAAATATAGCGAGCTCCTGTTGGTATTTGCTAACCAGTTTTAAGGCATTGGAAATCGTGTACTGCAAAGTACTGCTGATGCTTATTATTCCCCTGAGACTCGAGTTAAGGATGCTCACACAGCAGAGGGTGTTCTTCAGAACAACAAGAGTGATGATGAAATTAAAATTCTTCAAAACCGGCTTGAGCTTGGCCATCTGCTCGGCCGTGTCTTCATCCACCTTTGAAATGATCTCATTGATGCAGGTCAAGAACGGCTCCAGGATTTCCAGCATGGTCTGGAAGGCATCTGTGCCATATTCCCAGTTCCCAGCGACAGCTGTTTTTATCCTCTCCACCTCTCCTTTGATATGCCCGTATGTCATCTGGATCTTTCCCTCTAGTCGTTTGCTCAGCTCCGGGGTTCTCCTCAGCAACGACGCCACCTCCTCCACAGTGTCGGCAACCTTCTGGATGGATGGCACGGGCATGCAGCGGATGATCCAGATATTGAAGGCATATGGGTCACTGGGTGACAGAACTACTTGTGGAAATTCCTGCAGGATTCTACAAGTGAGATCTCGCATTTTCTGACACATGCTTCCAGTGATGATGTAAGTGAGTCCTCGACAATGCTCCATCCTCAGCCCCCACTTGTTTCTCAGCTCGGAGAGGAGCATGTAAAACAGGTTTTCAGCATCCAGGTCACACGGTAGGAACCCGACGAGGTGCTTTTGAGGGAACCCATCCACTGTGACAGACCTGATGAAGACTGGGATCTGCTCCTTTCCCTCTATGCTCGTCACGTCCTGCAGCAGAATAGAGAAAAACCGTGCCAGTCTGAGGCTGTTTTGGATCTCCTCCCGCATGAGGTCTTCACTGAACTGCAGTATCTCCTTCTTGTCGATTTTCTCCATGCAGATGGGATTCTGAGCCTGCTGGCCCCTCGCACCTCCGATCGGCTCGTCGGCGCCAATGTTGGCACCGTTGATGCTGAATCCCGTCAGTGCCAGGATTTCCTTGAAATAAACTTTCAAAGTCTCTTTTGCTTTTGAGGTGGCTACATCCTCTTGGTTTTGGTTATCTTTTGGGAGGTTGGTCACCGTACTGTTCTCTCCCGGCGCTTCTTTCGTCTCCTCTGGCACATCTGCTGTTGCATTATCTGAAAGGGAAGAGATTGTCTGGCTGAAAAGCAGTTCTGTTTAAATTAATTTGCCTAAAAAAGCAGATGAATGAAACTTTCATCCACCTAGTTGTTGTACCTTTTGTTTTCTTCACAACAGCAGCTTCTTCTTCCGACTAGATGGATAGAAAAAGACAGAAAATTAGAATTTACAGCATTTAATGTTTGGTTTCAAATACAAAAAATCATTGAAAGCCTACCGGGTCTCTGGCTCGCTTCCTGTTACAGGCAGACTGATTATTGACAGGCATTGTGAAGTCAAATATCGTTGGAACAGCATCTTCCTTTAAGACCCAATTGGAAGAACTCTGTAAAAACAAAAGGCAGAAGCTAAAGTTTAATAACCCTGACTAAGATTTGGTTTAGCCAATGAAAAAAAGAGATGACGTGTGGCTGGTTTGGTGTCCTTCTCCATTATAGAGCTGTGTGTGTGTTCCTCCCAACACACTAGCAACATGTTAATATTTTCATTCATTATAATTTCACCATATTCAAGATGTTTTTCATCTGTAATGCAGGGATTTAAGAATTTGTTGACAAAAAAGGTTCAGAAAAGAGGCTTTACAGTGACTAAAGACTCGTGAGTGCCTTTTCTACTGTGACTGTGGTGTGTTTGCATGGAGCAGGATGGAGATGATGAAGCCTCAACGAAAGAACGGCCTTCGTTTTTCTCTGAAGTGTCATCACAAGTTTTTTTATGTAGTTTGAGTAAGACTGAGTCATTGTCATGAGATGGGTGCTAAAAATTCATTGTAAACTGCTAAAGTTAAAGGTTTTCCACAAATGAACAGAGGACAGAGGCATGTGTTCCAGAGGAGCAGCATTAGGTTTATTTCTCACCTGCTGAGAGATCATAGAGGGCTCAAAGTGCGTGGCACACAGCCTGTACAGCTTATGCAGCTGCTCCGGAGGTTCTGCCGACAAATCCTGCCGACTGCAGTTGTTCAACCATTGTTTGCAACTGAAAAACACGAAAAGACAAATGGACGAAGGCCCGGGTCACAGCTTTATACTTGGTGATTAAAAGTGTCAAAGCCAGAACAGTGAAAGGCTTCGGCAGCAATCAGAGAAGCAACGGAAGTGCTTGTATTCTTATATATGTTTGGCTAAATGGTTTACAAACTCAAAATGTACATTTTTAATTTATTCAAAGTGTCAGCATTGAGCTGCACCAAATGGATGGACAGATTAACTAATGAAAGGCTAATTATTTTATAATACCCGGACAGTAAAACCACCAAAACAAGCTCAACCACACCATATTGTTTGAATGATTCTTATTTCAATGAGTGTTCTGTTTTATTATGGACTTTTTTTTTTTTAGAATGACATCATTAGATTAACACTTTTATTAAAGTATTTCATTTTTTCTGTGATGCCTGGCGTGTGCAGAGGTGGAGCTCTGTGGGAGGAGAAGGGCTTTTCACAAATGATTAAAAGTCAGGTTACAAACATCTATTCAAAATATTTTTAGAGACTCCTCCTACTAACTGATAAACAGGCTCCCTCCTCAGAGGCTCGTTTTGTATGGATGCATGAACTCTGGGCCAGTTGTCCACTATTTGGGTCAGCAGAAAGCCGTCACACCCCCACTCCCTCCTCACTACCACTAAGGTTATTATTATTATTGCACATTCATTTTACTACATTACTAATTAGTCATGATTTCTAATTGCTTTTCATTTTTATCTTGTATTTTCTGTGTTACTTTGTCGTTATTCTTTATTTACTACCCTTTATGCTGCTGTTGTTGAGTGTATCCTAAACATAATCAAATTTAAACTTCCTAACCAGTTCAATTCTTACTAGCATTAAGTCTAACTGAAAGCAAAAGTTGGCAGTAGATAATCACCGGTAACTGAATGCTTTTCATGACTATGACTCCATGCGGTTCACCTCATATGAAACATTTTTCCTCCTCCCCCCATCACACTATTCTTTACACCAAATCATGTCCATGGTGGTTGTCTGTTCCACTTGTCATTTATGAGACTTTGTGAGTTTACATCAGGATCCCGGCAGTTAGGACCAAATTAATATCTCTATGGGTGGGACGTGAAGGAGTTTGTTACCCAAAAGCTGTGCATTTTCCCCCCTTCTGACGCGAAATATTTCCCACCAAATATCCAGACAAACTAATTCAACAATTTTATTGCTGACAATTCAAAGCTAAAAAATAATAAAATCTGTCGAAATGTTTAAGCGACACAAGACATTCCGGCTGGATAGACCGGCGACAAATGTGAATCGCCGGTGAAAAAACAAACAAATACCAAGTAAATACTTTTTTTTTTTTGCTTTAACTCCAGTTAAATGTGCAGGTCCTACAGTTCGGCCACCAGCTCCCACAGGGACGTTAAATATTGCAGGGAACGGCCTCACGCCAGCCCGCTCCTGTTACCCGTGTCATGGCTTGTGTCCTGAGCTGATGGCGATTTAAATAATGCAAAAACTTTTTCACGGGTGTTTCTCTCCGTGTGCGAGACGTTATCACCCAACACTAAACGGGCAGAGCCAATATCACAAGGGAGTGTCGGCTTCCGAGCCTCAATGACTGAAGGAAGTGTGTTTCACATGGACTTTTCTTTGAATAGTAACGAGTCTGCGCCATTTTCAGCGGAGTTGTGTCACTATTAGCCAACATGATGTTAAGCTAACGCCGATGCTAACAGCACAATGCTAACACATTCATTTTGCATGCTCAACGGCTCGATTATGACTCAAAGCTAAATTAAATAAGTCCAACTCTTACCGCTCCGGGTCCAAAGGAAAGCTGAAAAGTGGAGTTGTATTTTCGGATTCCTGTTGCTGATAACCACAGTTCGCTGCGGCGCAGCAGTCAGTCATTTTGGACTGTAGTGTAGCTAGCAAGCAAGTTAGCTAGCAAGCGTAGCTGGCGGTTGCAAACTGGCAAGCCTACTGTGAGCAAACTCTTGTCTACAGAGCCATACCTCGGATAAAAACTGCAACCAACACAGTTGGATGGAATATTATTTCCGTTTAATTTATCTTTGGCAAACTAAGAACCGACCAATTCCATGCTTTCAAAAGTTAAAGTTGCGAGATGAGCTAACAGTCCCCGAAAGCGTGTTATCCCATCAACCAGGAACTAGTCCGTACCATTCGGCTCGTTGACCAGCAGAGGGCAGGATGCCACCGGGGGGGGACGGGAGAGTCCAAATGTCAAAATGACTCACCCCTATTCCAGCAGAACCTGTTCAGTAAAGCACACTAAATAACACAAAACGTACACTTGCTTTTCAGGAAGGAAATTGTCTTTGATTGGTTCCACGTTGTTAGCAGGGGGTGGAAGAATTATTATAGGAAAAAGCGTCTGCTAAATGCATAAACAAATATGGAGTATTTTTAAGTAGCACAGCCATAATTCTATAAGCTTTCATTGAAAAAAACAGCTGCTTTTCACACAGCATGTAATAACTGATCATTTTGCAGTCATATTATTTCATTACATTTCATTAGCTCATTACACAGGCATTTATCAGAGGTGCCAAACCACTAACTCACTCACTGAATGTTTTTTCTCTTTCACACCATCATTTTACTTAAACTCAAAATCTAATAACTGTTCATACAGTTTTTAATGCTCCATCATACACTGCCAAACTCTGAATGCTAAAGGCCAGCTGTTTTTGTCCGGTCATCTAAAATGACTCGGGCAAGTTAGCCAACCTCTTTTAATTTTTTATGCATTATCGCATTTATTGTCAGAGCAGAACTTGGACACAAAATCAGTCACATAATACTTTGTTTTCCTAGAATAAAAGTAAACTTTTAAATGTCATTTCCTAAACTGGAAAGATAATTATTTATAATGCACTGAAAGGATGCAAGCCTGTCACACAACACAGCTCACATTAATCTCCCTCAGGAAGTTTATGATGCGTAGCAAATAAAAATGTCATCGGTGCTTCTTCTGCAGTGGGTGATTTAAGAGTAAAAAATCAATTCAATTAAGAAATTAATCAGCTGAATCATTCTATGTATTTACTAGCCAAAAAAGAAAGTCAGTGCATCAAGAATAAATTAGTTTAATGAGACTTAAACACTTGATAGAAAACATCTAACAAGGGGAAAGTAAGAGGGACATGGATCTCTAAGAAAATGAGCTGCCACCAGAAACAATAAAACAGCTCAAAATCTCTATTTAAAATTTCATTTAAAGGGTGATTTATTGTTTGCTTGGCACAGGTTTTACCAGCTGAAACAGTTTGTGTGAGTGTTGTTGTATCCTCAGTCAGGTTAAGTTGAATCAACACCAAACACTGTGATGGAAACCTAGTAGAAAGAAGAAAAACACTCCTTGATTGACTTAACACCTAAAATAAATAATAGTGTGTGAAATTAATTGCTGTTGCGTCTGGCTGTCCATATCAGTGTATGAGTGTTGTGAATGTGCTTCTCTGACACCATCAGCAGTTTTATTTATTTTGCAAATACATCAAGAATGAGAGCAACAAAATCTGAATATTAAAAATGTATGTCTTTTTTTATTCAAAGTAAGAAACTAAAGTCAAATGAATCACAGGTCCACCGGAAACATTTAAACAATATCACAACAAGACAGACTTTTTCTACTTTGGACACTTTGTTGATCAAAGTAAGACAGAAAAGCTGAACATAACATTCTAAAGGTAAAACAATATCTGTGCAGAGGTTTAAGCGCCCGGTTAGCGACTATGTCGCGTCCTGCCTGTCTGGATGGGCCTTCATGTAGCTCTCCACCACCGAGTCCAGATCGCACCCGACGTCGTAGTTTATGCTCAGGAGAGCCAGGCTTTTTGATTTGACTCTGTCCGGCGTGTTCTTCATGTACAGCCTGAAGCGCTGGTGCGCCTCCTCACAGCTTCTCTGGGAGGCCAGCGTGGGCAGGATGCTGAGCAGCCTGAGGATCACCAGCACGTTTGGGAAGAACTTCACGTCGGCCAGCTGCAGCGTCTCCTGGAGGCTGGAGGGAAAAGTCTCTCCTTTGGCCTTTTTGCTCCACTTCACCCACCAGCAGTGCAGCTCGGCGGAGAGCGTGGCGGCGTTGGGGATGTCGCTGCTGAACACCTGCACCTGCTCCTCCTCCGGCTGTGTGGACTTGTCCTGCTCCACCACGGCAGGGACCAGGAACAGGCCCCTCAGAGTCTTCAGGTGCTCCTCGCCGAACAGCTCGCTCATCTGGCCCATGACGTGCTTCACCACGGGCGCCGACAGGTGCTCCTTGTAGTAACACTCTGGCTGAACGGCCCCGCTTTCCGCATGGTGCTTCCGCAGAAACCAGCGGGGGACCCTGGCCGGGACCTCCATGGCCGTGGCGAGGCTGAAGGCCTCATCGTACCAGAACTCGTGGTAGATGTCGATGTTGTCGGCCACCTCCTTCAGGCTGCACAGCACGGCGCCCGCCGTGGAGGCGGCGGAGTGCGCCTCGGCCGCGCTGCCCTGCAGGTTGGTCCCGAAGGCCGCCGTAAGCTTGGTGACGTGTTTCAGCACGACCAGCGCCACGATGAACTCGAAATCGGCCAGCGCTTTGGAGATCTCCAAGGCGCTGTGCGTGACCTGGTCGCTCCACCTCATGTCTTCGTTGTCGTGCACGCTGTCCACGCAGAGCAGCAGCGCCTCCACCACGTCCAGCGCCACCTGGAAGGCGGCCTGGCCCCTGGTCCAGCCGCCCCGGCAGGTCTCCTTCAGCTCGTTGGCTCTGTCCTCACTGTCCGGGTAGAACATGGAGATGGCGTGCTCAAACTCCAGCTGCAGTAGAGGCGACTGACAAAAGAAGGACTCGATCTTCTTGAGGGTCGACATGACGAGCTGAACGGCCGACAAAGCCATTCCGTTGGCCAGCGACACGTTCAGGGCCTCAGTGGACCGGAATGTCAGCATCGCCCTCGGATATCGCTCCATCAGTTTGGCAGCAAACGCTTGAATTTGGCTCAAATAGGGCCCGGAGCAGGAGTGGGCCTGGCCTCTGCACTGCTTCATGTCTAAGCCCCACCTGCAGGTCATTTCAGACAGCATTTTGTCCGGCAGGTCGTCGTCATCGACTCTGAAGTTCAAGAAGCCCACGAACTTCTCCCGCTGGCATTTCGACTGGTCCACATACCGCAGGAAGACAGGGAGGCACCATTCTCCTGAGATCTGTACCGGATCGTCGGTAAGCAGTGAGAAGAAGCCGTTTTGTTGAACCTCCTCTATTATCTTCTGGCGGATGTGATTCTCGCACACATCCATCATCTGACCGAGCTCCTCCGAGTCGCAGATCTGCTTCCACGCGTCCTGCCGGTCCTTCAGCACCTCGTTTCCATAGTGGACCTGACGCTCCAGCAGGGCCTGGAGGTTGTCTGACTTAAGTTCTTCCTCTTTGGGATCTGTGGGGGCTGTGAGGGGAATGCTCTGCTCTCCCAAAAGGACAAGAACCTCAAACAAAGACTTGAGATATTTCTTCTGTGCGTCTTCCTCTGGTGCCGTCTGAGTGTCCTCCTGAACCGTCTCTGCTGGAGATTTTTTGATCTCTGGAGGAAAAGCAGGGGTAGTTTGTGAAACTTCAATAAGATGTGGTACTCCTTTGTGTCAATGTTAGCAGAAAAAAATATGTCTGCTTACTTTTCCTTCCTTTGCTCTCAGCTTCATCATCTTTGGGCTGCAAAGTATAACATGTTCAGGATGGAGGATTGGACTTGGTGCAATTCTTTGGTTTCCTTAGCTTTTTTGTTAATTGTAACCATCTTTATTTCTTATCTGCTGCACAACTGGATGTAAAACAGCGCTATACTACTTCATACAATCCTTTCATTCAAAGCTGCTATTAATTACATTACAAGTTTGAACACATAAATTTAAAAAAATTGTTTTAAAAAAAAAAAAAAGAGAGGATTGTATTTACCCACCGTCTCCTTGCTGCGCTTCACCTGTCCATTTTGAGGCTGGCACAGCTCATCAAAAACAGTTGGTATGGCATCATCCTTCAAAACTGTACCCCGAGCATCCTGACAGACCAAAGCACACAAAGGACCAGATAAGAAATATCATACCCAGCTTTCCATTGAAAAAAAATTATCCAGCTCAGATCTGATGCACCAGAATGGGGTCCCAAAAGTCAAGGTTTAACCTACACCATCAAACGCAGATGTTTCAAAATGTTTCCCACACAGTCTGTAGTATCTGTACAGCTGGTCAGAGGATTTATCCATGAGGTCGGTGTTCTGACACTTTTCAACCCACTTCTTGGTCCTGAAAGAGAAAACCATTTTAAAAAAGATAGCAAGTTATTTCACATGTAAATCATAATAAATGCTTCTGACTGGGGGGATATACTGGATGCAGATAATTTTTTCCCATCTTTTATAATCAGATATCCAACACATATTAATCGTTTGAATTGGTCAGGGTAACAAATGCATAGTTGTTCTGGTAAAATGTGGTCCGCTTGTTGTCCGCATGGTTTAAAGTCAGAGCGAGGAATGAATTGTTTCACAGGCTGCATACAACATAATACCTGCTTGTTTTTTCGATTTTTACTTTTTTAAAGCAGGTTAACGTGCTTTTTCTTTATACAAATACCAACAGATGAGCCTATTAAAAAGTCAACTACATCTCAACATAAATATCACATCATTTTCTTGCAAAAGTTTCCAACTTGAACTAGCATCTGGGCTATCTTTGGTTACCTTTCAGCATCATGGGGAAACCTGAAAAGAGGCAAGGGGTCAGATTTGGCACTTGGACAGTTCGGCACAGCGCAGCGATTCTGCATTTTAGGTTTTAAATAAAAGAAATTCCGTTTCAATCAATACTTCGGTTGAACAAGCAGATGGTGCTAATGTTAGCTGTCAGCTAGTCACCACCTTAACGGACTTCCGCCTCACACCTTCAAAATAAAGTACCTTGTTTTTTAATTCACAAAAGTGAACTTTAGAATAAAAATAACCCGTAAAAACTAAAGATGATAGATAAACATGACAAAAAGGTGATACACCATACGACATACATTTTAATAGTGCTTTGAATATTTGCTCCTCAGGGCCAGAAAGAATGTTTTTTTTTTTGTTAGATTTTTTATGTTGAGCGTTTATTTTGTTGTACCAGAATTCAAAACACAACGAGTGTCAGGGCAACCGAAGTTATTGGTCACGTGGTTTACGGAGCTTCCGGTAGTTCCCGGAAGTCTGTGGCGGTCAATTTATTTGAAAATCAATATTATTTAAAGTTGGAACTCAAATTTCCTTTTATAGGGGTTCCTTATAACTCTTTACAATTACACACATACCATTCAAATAGCTCTGTTGTTTACATTTCATGTGCAAAAACCTTTGTGTAGAAAGATACTGTAAAACACAGTTATATAAAATATTTAGAGACATTAGTTTTTTAAATATATTGATAAATCCCTAACAAACAGAAGAACATTGATGGTATGCAGAAATCCTTGTTTTTGTCATTCATTCTGTTAATGCAGTGTTACCATCAACAGTTGGGGGGAAAAAAGTAAAAATATGTTAGGAAATCTTAAAAACACTGCTTCTTTTCACAACCACACTGTAAATAATTTTTCAAATTCAGAAGCAAGGGGACAGTGAGTAAAGGGGAAATTATAATTATTAGAAACGAATATTCTTCCAATGCGCTGAGGCGTAGTTTTTTGTTTTGTTTTGTGGAATGGTTGAGAACATGCCACGGCATGTTTCCACTAGTGTTGACTTTCAGCCCAGCGTGGAATGATCAATTTACATGTAAAAGACACATCAGATCCTCACACATCTATGCAAATAAAGGCTTCATTTGATGATAATTTACCTATACCTGTAGATGAAGCTAATTAAAAGTGTACACACATAAGGGATTTAGTCCGGCAACAAAAATAAATAAATTAGCTGAAGGTAACATTTATTCAGATTTTTTCAGACTATAACCACTACTGTGAATTCAATGGGTGTGTTCGAGCCGCTGTTTCAGGAATGTTATTTAGTTTTAAACATTCAAACTGTTGGCATGACGTCTTATGGAAGAGACGACAGAGGGAAGTCTTTCTCAAATCTCGTTTCCAGTTTGGTGACAGTTTATTGGTTAGTCTGGTGTTCTCGCGATACTAGCTGGACCAATTGTTGCACGGCAGCGCCAAGTCAAATCGAATCGTTGTTCCTCATGTAGGAAAGTTCGTTGTTTTCCTCTAATGCTGTGCTGTACTGGCTGAGCTATTTTGATATTCAACAAAAAATAAGGTAGGTCAAAGTTTCTTAAAATTTCTTGAATATATTTTAGTTACGGGGACCACAGTTGGTCTAGACTCTCATGAATACTATTTAAAACGTTAACTGTCACCCTAACGTTTATCCGTTAAACCCTAATTGTAAGATTGCAAATGTTGAGTCAGTTCAAAATCATGGTCATAACAGAGCTATTCATACCAAGACATTCAAATGGTAGTATGTGCATGGTTTTTGGGTAATGCAAAAAGTTTAAATTTAGGTTTGCCATTTCAACTTTAACCGAAAAGCTCCCCTGCAGCAGGATTGTGATTATATCCTAGCCTTATACATTACAATAACCATGTCTGTACATGTATTTGTGCCTCATCTTCCAACAGTATTTGCTGCATTTTATAAGGGGGTTAAACTATGGACAACCTCACTATTGCAGGACGAAACCACACCAACAGGAAAGTAAGTTAATCTTTTGTGACTGTTGTTGATTCTTCCAAGCTCTGTTTCAGTCCTTTAACCTCTTGCATTCTCTCTTTTGACTGTATTAGGGAAACAAGGAAAATACCCAGCCTGCCCAAGTAACCAAGTCTTTTATCAAAAGGGACAAAGTCTTTGCTCCTCCATTCCAGCTGAAAGGCAACCAAAAGGAGGGGATCGTAGCAAAGGATGAGTCTCTAAAAGCAAAGGCTAAACAGGTGGACACAAGGCCATTATCTGGGGAGGCTCTGAAAAAAGGCAGGTCTGTGCAGACAGATGTGAGAGCAGCTGCGGCCTCTCGTGTCATACGCCGAACGCATAGCCAGGTTTTCCTCACTGAACAGGCTGTCAAGCATAAGAAAATGGTTGCAGAGGCTCCCAATCGACCAGCAGCTGTGGTGCCATCAAAAGCTGCCCCGGGGATGTACAAAGGCAAAATTATTCAGTCCAAAATTGGGTCTATTTGGAAGACAAACAACATTGTGGGTGCAGCAGAACCCAAACCAGTTGCACCTAAAACAGAGAGCCAAAGGGTTGGAAATGTGGCCAAAAGGAACATCTCCAAATCTGTTGCTGAGTTGCCAGGTGGTGGCATACAAAAGCCCGTGCTGGCAAGGTGCAAGTCAGTTCCTCATAGACCGGCACAGGTGGTATCCAAGCCCGCTGCCAGCAGCCGTCAGCCTGCTGGATTCTGCTCTGCTCGCCCTCCTGCCAGAACTGCTTCAGCAAGTTTAACTACTAAAAGCTCTAGAAATGCGACTGTTGCTGGGAATCAAAACGCAAAGCCAAAGGTGCCTGTGGCTGAAAAGAAAGTTAACAAACCGGCCTTCTCCAGCTGCCTCAGTCAGTACAGATTTAGTGTGGAGACTGCAGAAGAGAGACGGTAAAGCTTTTCTTTGATACATTAAACCTTTTTTTTTTTTTTTTTGGTCGATCTGTTTTAAAGATCTATGCTCTAAGCTTTTGGTTTTCTTTGGCAGGGCCAAACTGGCTGAGTGGCTGGCGTCCAAAGGCAAGACTCTTAAAAGGCCCGCTATGGCCACTGCAGCCCCCTCAAAAGTTTCTGCAAAAGAGGATGATGTAAAACCTCAGGCTCTTGCTGAGTTCAAACAGGAGCCTGACGCCAGTTCAGAGGCACGTACGCTGGACTCTGCTCCCCCTGCAGCTCAGGAAGCCGAACTGAGCAGCCAAACTCCAGAGATAATGAACACTACACTGGAGCTGCTCGATAGCTCCGATTCAGGAGTGGATGACGTAAGCAGAGGTTTCTTTATATGTTCTCCCTGAAATAGTAACATTACTTTTTGTTCTTTAAAGGGAGATTAATTTAACCTATGTTGGCAGATTGTCGTGAACCTCTGTGATGCTTTGGAGGCCATGATGACTCCATCTAAAAGCAGCGATGGTAAGTTGCGCCTACATTTGGTAAAAATCGCTTGTTTTGGAGCTTATCCTGATGTCTGTCATTTGCCTCCAGATGAACCCGAACAGGTGGTCGATGAGTGCGACGTTGACCCAAAAGACGAGGATGTCAGTCAGCAGTTAAAGTTTGAGCAAGTGAAGGATGAATCAGAAGACAGTAATGCAGAGGAAGTGGATGATGATGACGATGTGGTGGACTGTGATGAAGATGTGACCGAGATGCCACAGAAAAATGATGCCTCAGTTATAAAATACAGTGTGAAGACCACTCCATACCTGCAAAGGTGAGGTTATTGTGTCATTTGCTGAACTAAGTTGTGTCCGTTTGCTTAAGTCTAACTTTCCCACCTCAAAACTGCAGCGTTAAAAGAACGATCGAAGGTGAGACCTGCGCGAGTTCGGCCAGAAAGAAGAGCGGCATCAAAGATCTGAAGTTTCTGACACCTGTGCGCCGCTCCTGCCGCATCCAGCGGAAATCCTCCTGCCTGCCCACGATGCTCGTGGACCACGACCCGTGCGTGTCGTCACTGGCCGAGCTGGTGAGGCTGGACGACGACCCCAACGCCTACATCTACAGAAAAAATCCAGCGCTTCTGGAAGATCTCCCCGACCAGAACGGACTGTGAAAATAACTTCCTGTTTCTGCTTTAAAAAAAGAGAGCCTCAGATGTAAGAGGCTAAACCTATCGAACTGCTATTGATATTGTTTTATGAATGTGCACAAAAACCTTAATCACTTTAACCTTATAAGCTTAAGCGCTTTTTCTACTTTTATCATAACGAAGACACTACATGAAACTGTCTAACAATTGTTTTAAAAGTAAATATGGTTTAAAGGACAAAGGCATGTTATTATTTCACATCACCACTTCCAGAAGATCAGGAGTAAAAGGGGTCAAATCCACTTTAAATGTCAGGCTCTGAGCATTAAACTAAAATTGTTCTGACACATTTACTGTTTTTTCCTCATGTGAAGTTTAAGGAAACATGACACTCGGGGCACATTTAATCCCACTTTAATTGACCACACTGTAAAAATCCAAAGCGCTCTTAAATGAACACTGCTTTCTTTTATACACTTCTTGGCAAATTATGCTTCCTGATATCAAACTGGACGTTTTGACACCAAATCCCTCAGATCAGGTCCCAGATGAGATTTCATTATAACAAAAAGGAAAAGAAAAAAATCTCTTTGATGCAATCTTTCTCCCTTAATAAAGTACAAAAAAAAAAGTAGTTTCTCCACTCATCTGCAGACCACATGGGAAGGCGTTCAGTGCTGTGCGCTAAAAGGCGGTTTTCACTGCAGTTTGAAGTTATGTCCTTGAAAGACCTCGGTTGTCAAGATCTTTCACCTAAAAGAGAAACATTTGGTCAGGGTATTTTTCTATGATGCTCTGGCCCACAATTCTGTTTTTTAAAACATCACAAGCACATAAGACAGTATATTATAGTCTTTCCTGAGTTATTCAGCTCACATAAGAGCTTCAAGAGGCCGGTGTGTGAATGAGCTGACCATTAAAGTACCAGTCATTACCTTGTATATCCTGACCAGCCAGTGCTCTGTTGTGTAGGCCTCTTCCAACACATCCAGTTCAAAGTCTTTGTTCCCAATTTCAGCGTTCCTCACCCTGTCGTAACCTGGTGGCCTCTCTGTAACAAAGGGACAGAAACTTTTTAGTTGGCGTCAAACACTATGAAGGCCACTTTGGTTGAACGACAGACTTTATAATCAGTTTAGGACATTTAAGGAGAATGATGGAGGAAATTGAAAACAAAAGTAAATCACTAAGTGTTAGTTTTGTGAGAGCTAAGGTACATCTTAATGTCCCCTCACGTGTTCTTAAAGCTTATTAAAGCAGCAACACCAGAGGGTCAGGTCCTGTGCAGAGACATTACTGACCATGCTGCTAGTCATTGTAAATCACAATTTCTGTCCTATTAGCTCTGTTCACATTGTGACTACAGCAAAACAGTCCATATGAATGACTTTGGTCACTCACTTCCTTCTGTGTAGACCTGTCCGAAGCGGTAGTAGCACATCTTGTACATGAGGCAGTTTAGCAGGACGGGGGAACCCTCTCGGTCCACTCTGAACTCCCCGGTGGGGGTGTAGTAGTCGTGTTCCTTGATGTGTTTGCCCGTCTCGGTGCTTCCCCCGATGCGGACCATCCACAGAAACTTGTTGATGTCTGCGGTGTGCAGAGAGGCAGTTTCACTGCAATGCCTAAACTAGACTCCGAATGGTGGAATAATATATGTTGCAGAAGCCGAACGATTCCAGGACCAGACTTACCATCTGAGGAATAACCCGTCAGCCCTCCAAAGATCACCAACACATAACTGACGTCCAGCTCCCTCATGATCTCGTAGGCCCTCTCCTCTGTAGACGCCATCGCCTGAGCAGCCAAGCACAGCCCCGTTGCCACGACAACTCTTTTTAAGCATGATCAGCACAAACGTCACATGACCCACCTGTCCGACTCGGGAGATGTGTGTGTTGTTCCAGGTGTTGTTGTCTACCAGAATGGTTCGATTAGCCATGGCAGTTATTTGGTAGCCGTAATCCCACCACGACATGACTTTGGCATCCTTTAAACACAAAAACAGTTTTTGGTTCAGGCTGGAAACGTCTCTGTGTGACAACTGAGGGTCAAAACAAGCACAGGATCCCAGTTCTGTGTGCCTTAGTGTGATCTGTGGGGGGGTGGCAGACCTCGGGAGTGTTGTGCCGGAGCCAGTAGTAGGCCTCTCTGAAGTCATCAAAGATGATGCGGCTGCCGTCGCCCCCGCGGGCCGACAGGACGATCGAAGGGGAGGAGTAGGCCTCGCTGGTCACCCAGGTCGAGTGGAAGGTGTAGGTGATGAGGAAAAAAGCCATGACCAGAATCATCCCGCTGGCAACCTGGTGGGAGAAAAACAAAACACAACCCAGAATGAGGTTTTAAAGTTTCATTTTGGTCCATTTCAACTACAGACGTTTCCAGTGCTGTAACATCTACTCCACATATATTCAATGGACCCTCTGACTCAAAACATGGCAGGTTTGTGCGTTCAACTGGTAAATCCAAGATGGATTAGTTGGTTTTTACCAGTTAACAGTCGTTCACCATCGTCCTACCTCATTTTTGATGGGGTAGGTGGAGTCCTGCTGTTTCTTGTTCTTCTTGTCCGGCCGGCTGACGTCCAGATTCTTCATGTAAGTGGTTAGAACCTGGGACACGCCGATGCCCGACAGGATGCACATCACTGGAGCCAGGACCAGCATCAGACGCACCTGAGTGGAAACGGGTCACTCGTCACTCATACAGCCTTTTCCCTCCGTTCAGCTGTGTTTTTCTGAGTGCCAATTCCTCCAATCACAGGCCTCTTTGAACCTCTTAAATACGACTGGGAGGAGAGAAGCTTTAGCCGTGTTCAGATGTAAATAAGGAGAAGGGCACCCCGTGCAGAGTTCGGGTATTTCATAAAGACTTTGAGAATCTAACCATCGACCAGCTGGCTGCACACATCCTCAACTCATGTTAAACATACATATTTAGTAGTCGTACCATGACAGCTGAGAAATACATGCTGGTGACTCCGTACATGATGATGAAGATCCTGGCGTCGGACAGGTTGTTAAAGCAGTAGTAAAGACCAACTGGAGGGGAAAAAAGGACCGGTTAACAGTGACCAACCACACTGGATCAACTCTGTTATCCCAAGGTTCTGCTCACTTGCCTGGAAACATGAAGACGAGCAGCTGGAGGTCAAAATAGTAGGAGGACCATGTTGTGGGCTGGTGCTCTGAGACGGAGGCGATGATGGGGATGTTGTTTTTGGCGTAGGACGGGTCCAGCAGGGAGTAGAAACGACCAGTCCACGGAGAGATTTTACCTGAGAGAAACAAGCCCGTCAGGTCCAGAAATGAAACAGAACTGAATCAGATTTACATTAAAAGAAAAAATGGAGACGATATCAGCACAGATATGACTGTAAAATTCCCTCATTGTAAGTTGGTACATTTACAGCCACTTATTAGTTTAACTGGAGACTTAGATGTAATAAACATGCATTACGAAAAATCCAAACAATAGAAGGGCATTTATCTCTGATGTGGTGTAAACCTGCACGGTGCTGCTTTTGGAACACTTGGATTGACGGCCTCACCTGTGAGCATGAGGACAGCCCCCACAGACAGCAGGATGAAGCCCACCAGAGAGATGACGCTCTTGAACAGCACCTCAAACTGCTGTGCGTTGAGCTTGCTGCGCAGGTAGTCCACGAAGGCGTGAATCTGGCACAGGCCAAACACGCCGAAGGCCGCCATGTGCTCGGACGACAGCACCGGCTGGAGAGACAGGAGGGTGGTCAGAAAGGCACACAGCTGGCATTTTTTGAAAAGATGAATGCCACAGTTGTTTCCTTCTTTACCTGGAAGCCGACAAAAGAGATCTGCATGGAGAGGATGGTGCCCAGGCAGTAAACTGTGCAGTACGCCACGTATATGCGGTGAGAGAATCGGCCTGTGAGCATCAGCACCAGGACATGGAGGGGGATGAGGTTGATCAGGAACACGTAGCCACCCCAGGAGGAAACCTGAGCACACACGGAAAGACTTATGACCTCGGTCACCCCAACTAAGTCATAATGAATCAGAATGGCTGATCTCCTCACCATGTAGAAGTAGGCCAACGCACACATGGATGACCAGTACACTGACCCCGTTTTGACAGCCCTGATCCACATGTAATAGGTCAGCAGCATGCAGAAGATGGCAATACCTGAGTGGAACAATGCAGAAGGATTTAATTTAAAATAGTTTTCTTTCCCTTAAACATCAGTGTTGAGCAATATTTCACATCTAAAAGACAGTTTAGATTTACAGCCAAGAAAATGAGACAAAAGTACAGAAAGCCACGAGCATACCAAGACTTTCAGTACTTTGATTTGTCCAACCAACAGAAAGCAAACCGAAATCTAACAGCTACTCTTTAAAATACCTAAAGATTGTGTTGCTGGTCGATGTTACTGCAGCTGTCATACCTTCGTTATCGTAGGAACCAGCAACAGAACGAGAGATGTAACCAGGCACCACTGCAATCATGGCGGCCGCCAGGAGCCCAGCACCCGCATCCTGAGAAAACCAAACACTGTTCAGTGGCAGTGTTGTGGTGAACAAGGCAAGTACACAGATATAACCCCAGGAAGACTTTTACTCTTAAACTTAAGAACTCTCTAACTGAACAACATTAAACTAAATGTTATATAGGCTCCACATGTTGCTGTACAACAGCACAGCAAAATGACAAGAGCAAAATGTTATACAATTAACATTTTTTCTGATAAGGAAAATAATTCAGTAGGAGAGTGATACAACTTTTTTTTTTTTTTTTTTTTAAAGCTGCCACCCATTCATTCAAATATAGTTAATAAACGTAAATACACCTGAACTCTTTGTATGACATAAACACGGTGTTATGGTGGAAAAACCCATCTATGGGTTACTTAACTAACACTTTGACCATGTGATGGGTTTTACCTTCAGCTCCTTGGTCAGGTGGTAGGTGACTATGGCAGTAAAGGAGGAGAACAAAGGAGCCAAAAAGACACAGACATTTCTGATGTCTATGGTGATGTGGAAAAAATGTAGGACGTGGTAGAGGACGGCAGATGTCACCATCAGTCCTGGAAAAAGAGAGGAAAGGGTCACAAATCCTTCTAAACCGCTGGAGATTTCCCCATTAGGATCGAGATCGATTCAATAGCTCAAAGCACTGGAAACCTTACCTGGGTAAATGGTGCCACCAATGATCCTCCCCAGGGGATACCATGCCCTGTCATCAAACCAGTTGTGGAACTTGTAGAATCCCTCCTCGGCAAGGAAGCGGGTGGTACGGTAGTTAAAGTACCTAAAAAGTTTAAAGCCGGTGAAGGTGAGGCATAGAGGCTAAGCAGACGTTTACAACCCTGATAAAAGTGGAACTTACGGATCAAACTCATGGATGACGCTTTCAAACCTCAACACGGAAAAGAGCCGAGTGGAGAATGCTGAGGGAGAGGGAGAAAAGCACAGGATTCAAAGAGTTGTACCACCAGTAGGAAGATGCTGCTCTGTGAGGGGTGCGGGGGACTCACAGAGAACAGCTGCCATGGACAGGATGAGCAGCTTCAGCAGTGTGTCCTGTTTCTCGTAGGACAAACGCAAGAAGCCCAGCTTGGTCATTTTGGCGAGTTTTGGGATGGCTCACCGTACTACCTACAAGAACGGGGACAAAGACCGTAAGACAATGACAAATACTTTTTTAAAATTCATTTTGCAAAAGTAATATCCCCTCAGAATTGATTTAAAAAAAAGCTAGACACATAAATCTTCATAGCTGCCGGTGCTGTGAACTTCCACGTTCAACCCAACCAGATAAGGCCACGCACTACATATGGCGTCAGGAACCAGGAAGCAGTGTCTTTGGAGACCCTGTGCAGGAATATATGCCCATCTTTCTCATGGTTTGCATGTATAAGTTCCATCTAAGACGTAAATTTGAGCCACTGAGCCCGAAAAGGTTATTAATGCTAACTTTCTATGCTATACAACCATGTATTCTAAGATTTAGAATAACAGATTACACCTCCCCAACAGCTCATGACTGTATAATAGCTATTAAAATTGCACACTGCAAACGTATATAATGTATGAAAAGAGAGACATAAATGGAAAAAAGGCATCTGTGCTTTGCTCAGCATCAGGCCGGGAACATCGGATGCAGTTTTCATCCTGTTAAAGTATGAGAGCAGCTAGCGAGGCTAACCTGCTAGCTGCTGTTTAATGAAATAAACAACGGCCAAGCGTTTCTCGGACGTATCTCCAAAATATTATACAGCCAACGACTCCAGTCTCAACTAAATCAACATCAACCCTGAATGAATAAACGCTTAAACGATTTAATGCTGGGTAAAACTCACCCGCTCCGCTCCTGCTACTCATACACTTTTCACACACAACCTTCACCGTCCCTCCAAATCCCGCCCCCTCTGTAACCGATATGCGTGTTTATTGGCTGAGTGTCTGTCATATTTGTGTGTGTGATTTTTGATTGGTTACTTTGTCGTCACTCAAACAAGTTTCCCTACCTTGCCGCTGTGGTGTAGTGACGTGTCCTTATCATGGAAAAAGACAAATCTATGTCGCCTCCTGCTGGTTTAAATTGGCGCCATTTAATAGGCATTCCAGCTCTTTATGGAGCAGGAGTAAATTCTTACACCGAAACAGGTTTGTGGCAGTGTAACAAGGATACTCCAAATAAAGCTAGCATTACTTTAAATACATTTATAATTTATTCTAACAGATTCAGTAAGCTGTATCTTTTGGGCTCAGATCAGTGTTTTATGTAATCAAAATGTAATTAAACTAACATTACACTTTAAGTCCCTTTCTGTTATAGTCTCAGTATTTGTAAAAATGAAATAAAAAACATAAAGGCTTGAGCTGAACTGACAAATAAATCAATTTTCCCCCCCGAATTGCTCTCAAGTTCACCTTCATGCATGTTGTACATAAACAATACAGAAAATTTTAACAATTTTTCTAAGACCAAGAATCATAAAATGAGCACTGCAACATTTGGAGCAACACTAGGAGATTAATAATAATGACTGAATTAATGGAAGTATTTACCTGGACAGATGTCCAGACAGAAGTAATAACCGTCTGCACCACAATGCTACACAGACGTCTGTGATGGAGAGGGATCTCTCTTTATATACCTCATAAAAAACATAATCAATAGCATTTCCTTTTTGAATGAATACTCCTCATTTGGTTGTGTGATCACCGATTCAATATTTCTTCTTTCTCGTTGTTCAACTATGAGGTGAATAAAAACCCCGAAAACACGCAACATTGAATACTGACCAGTTTTATTGAAATTAGACATATTACTTTTACAAAACCTCACTCACAAATCTGCACAAACATCGCCTCCCCTTAGAACAGTTGCACATATTTCCAAATCCTTGCTCTCTTAGCAGCAAGTCGCTCCAATTAGTGAGAGAACAGAGGTGGAGGTCTTTCTCAATGAAAGTTTAGGGGATATTAAAATTATGTACAGCACAAAAGAAATGCATCAATTGATCTTTGGGGGTCAGATATATTATAATCAGCTCTTTGGGAATGAGGAAGTCTAGCGAATTAAGGCCGATCACCTGCTCATTAAAGGCGTTAACTATAGGACTCCTCCTTTGTTAGAGCTGAGCATTGTAGTGGTTTACAGTGAAACAAACAAGAAGCAGAGAAGCTGTTTGGCAGTGTAATCTCACCCTCAGCTATCACACTCGGGCAGCTTTGTATGTGCTGGTATCACCACGTGAACTACATGAGACATCTGATGAGGGTTTTAATTCGGGACGAGACACCAGGCCACGGTTCTGTCGCATACGTGCGTGATTTCTCATTTCCAGAACAAAAGGTCGCTAATACTTTCTTTTAGCAGCTCCTAAACTTTCGCTGAAAACTGTGCAAGCTGTTTAGGAATCGAACCAGAAAACAAATAAAATCCCTTTATAGCTATACAAGTTTGCTTCTGTAACTACAACACCAGCGTCCGTGTGCAAGAAAGCATTTGACCTGTGAGGAAGGACGGCAATGTCAGGAAAAAGATGACTTCGTGCTTTGCTTTTGGATGCTGACAGGGAAGAAAAACTCGCAAAACATTTGAAGCTATTTGATTTCTTGTGCTCTAACGTGTTAAAAGAGTCACTCAAATGGCACTTTATACAAAAAAACAACAACAAACAAACAGAGAAAAAGACGAAAGAAAAAATATTCAAAGAAAATCAAAAGAAAACAAGTGTCGTCGTTTATATGTTGTGAGGCACGGGTCAGTCCTTTTTTGTGACGATGTGTCTTTGAGGTGATGCAGATTAACAACCCAAGGACAAGAGATCAATACAAAAACATGTGGTTTGTCTTCTCTGAGGGTCATCCTTCTGGAAGAGTCGCTTCTTCACACGAGGCAAAGCGTGTGTCCGTCGCCCGTCACTGGCTGGGCGGCAGTCTCTGGCGGCTCAGGGAGGAGTGGGGCGAGGACAGCTTCTCCGACGAGGCCGAGGACGTCAGCGAGGACTGCAGGTGAACGGTCTTGTGGAAAAGCTTGTTGCTGATCAGCACAACCAGAGAGAAGAGGCGCAGCTGGAAGTGGCTGGAAGAGCAGGACAGGCATCAGTGAGCTGTGCAGCGACACCTCTGTTTACCTCTGTGATCGGGTGGCTTTCCGGCATATTTGCGGGCACTTACTACAGCTTTGTCGGTGTCTTTGCCTCATTCGCACTGATGATAAATAGAGGGAAGAGGATGGAGAACAAGCAGCCACTGGGGAGAACAGACAGAAATATGAAGCAGACATTTTCCAGATGAGGGTTCTGCACATTTTATGATCGTCTTTGTAAAGTGCATTAAAGGAACACAACTCTTTTTTCACTGGGGAGAAATGAGAATGTATGTGCTTTCTTTAACACTGAATGAGCCTTTTATAAATAACCTATGAATAAAGTATTTTATGCGTGCTGGAGTGAACTGAAATGCACAGAATTGAAAAAGTTCCATAATTACTATCTAATTAATTGATGATACTTTTTTTATTGATGAGACTTTAAATCATTAAAAAAAAGCCTTACACTTATTGTACGACTGAGTTACTGTACAAGAACAATTTTAGTCCAGGAGGAGTTATTTCTCCTCCTCCCTTTATTCACCCCACATTAGGAATTTAATGAATAATTGACTGATTTCTAATTGTTTGCATTACAGCAGAGTTCCTGTAAAATATAAATATTTGATGGTTTATTTGATGTTGTTCATTATTATATTCAAAGACTTTCTTTTAAAGTTGGCTGTTCTGCAGCTATGAATCATAAAAAACTTGCACAATATATGTTCTTAACATGCAGAATTATAACGAACCTGATGATGTAAGAGGAGGGCATAGCGGTCAGTAAAGCCATGGGCAAACCAAAGCCAAAGTAATATGGCCAGTTCCTCTCGATATTGGACAGACGTTGATGCATTTCGATGCCTGAAACGGAAGAAAAAAAAGTTGTTTTGTTTCAATATGCTGCTCAGATTATCGGCCTGGGAGTGGGAAATGAAATGCCATCTTACCGTGGTTGAACCAGCGATATTCAAAGCAGTACAGGGAGTAGAGCAGAGACATGTGGAGGAGACTGACCATCTGCCCGATTGCATCGATGGGAAACAGGCTGACAATCATACCCTGATGGACAACACATATGCACACACAAACTATTCAACTTAATTCAGTTCAATTAAGTAACAGATACAGCATTTTTATTTTAAAATATAGAAAGAATGGATCCAGGGGGAACCGCGTACCTGGATGAGAAAAAGTGCCTGGAGGAGCAGGTTAAAAAGCATGTCTGCGATGATCTTACTGACGCTGGGGAACGGCTGAGCTTTGCAGCCAGACACCTCAAAGGCCAGGTCAGCAATATCCTGCAAACACACACATTTCAACTCACTGACACCACACAGCCACAGAAATCCGCACATCGCGCTACCCCCCGAGCTCAGAAACGTCGTGAGGAAGAACCAGACCTGGAACCAGATGGCGTTGACTATCTTGCTGAGGACAAACAGGGGGAGGACCCAGAGGGCGCTGAAGACGGAGGTCAAGATGAACTCTAACCAGGACCACACACTGCCGTGCAGGGAGGGGTCACCTGCAGCAAAGACAGCAGCGCTGTTGACTGACTGGCTGTTACCTCATAAGCTGCTCCTGAGCCACACGTACCTATGATCTTCGCTGTGAGAGTCTGCAGCAGTGGGATGAACACCCGGTAGAAGAGAAACAGACTGAGCTGGAGACACAAAAGAGCAGTGGTGAAACTTCTACACACATAGCCCCTCCAAAGGGTTAATCCAGTGGTCCTCAAAGGACAACAAAATGGGTAAAAAATTTAACTTTTATTGAAGAAGGTACAAATGAAGACTTCTAACCCCATAAAAACACAAACCGAGTCGTCCCATACACTTAAATCAGTCACTTTGTGCTCACTAATCTGACAGTATGATGGTTTCACTTTGAAGTCATCTTCACGCCTGTGGTGTTCTTCCCTTTCTCTGGAATGGCTGACATATGCTGGGTTTAATCTCTCCAAAAATTTTTTAAAATGGTTTCGGTTTCATACTGCCGGCCTCCAGTATTCTGACACGTGACACAGATGGGTCTCTTGTCATCTTTGACCACATTAGCAGCAAAGCCAGACCCGCCTCATCCTATTTTCCCGTTTTGGGCCTTGATGTTTGGTCACTGTCCTCATTTGTGTTTGTTCTGATGCATCTGACAGGTTGCCTGTTCTTCTTTTTGGCTCCTTTAAGATACTTCTCCGTTTCCCATAAAGGAGAACCACTCTCTGCTCCTTCTGTGTATTGTCTCACCCCCGAATGAGTCAGAGTCTTCTGACATTCACATTAGCTCTGTGCAGTTTATTTTCTGGACAAAAGTAGAGGGCCAGGCTGGTCTCACCCTGTCACGCCATCGCGGTTTGAGACCCACTGGGTTAATCAGAACTTTCTGTCTGGTTTTGGTCCTTTCATGGACAAAAAAGCTCAGGGAGGTGTTCTTTTAGAAGTCAGAACCACATTTTTATCGGTACTGATAACAGCTCAACGAGATCTTACCCAGAACACTCCTCCATTCCAGGCACAGCACTGAAAAATCCTGCTGGCTACTTTTGGCTCACTGAAAGAGAAAAAGAAAGAAATTATCACTGCTGCATGTTGGATGAAGGCTTCAGCTTCTAGCCATCTTCACTTTTTGATTTGACAAAGACGGAGATGCTGGTAATGCGTTTGGACCAGTTGGGGTTGTTCATAGCAACACAGTCCACAAAGATGTTAGTAAAACTAATTAGAGATGGAGCTCTATTATAATGTGCTGCTTTGTGCTCAATCTCCCAAAATCATGGTTTTAATGGCTTCAAAATGGATCCAAACAAGTGGCTAACACCATTCCATATTAACCCACTACCTTTTTTCTTAAGGCTTAGCAAGTATACCATGTATTTTTCATGCATTACGTTTAAAAAACAATTACAAAAAGTCTTCAATGTAGAGGAAAAAGTCAAAACGAAATCTCCTCAAAAAGCACCTCTTCAAAGAGCAACTCCTATCCTAACTCTTCCCCATATCTCTATACCCCTCTACTACTCTTTCTGTACTTCCCTCAATCTCTTGGCTGGCACCACTGACTCTGACTAGGGATTTTCCTCTAGAGAGCATATTGTCAGATTGATGATAACTGTAACATTGTGTCTACTTTGTAAGTCGCTTTGGATGCTAAATGCATAAACATAAACACATAAATCACTGATCTTGTTTTATGAAACGTGTAACAATGATCACAACAGATTACGAGACAAATGTTCAATGTGCTTCTAGTTAACATGGTTTATGTTCCAGAACCAAAAATGTAAATGTAGCAGAGGTCCAGTTCTGGTCATTTTGTCTTCGGAGGGTCTGCTCCTGCGTGCTTGTCTGGCTGTTTCTGAGCCACCATGTGTTTGAAATATGCTGTGAATTTGTTTGACAGATGCAGTTTGGATTTGCAAGACTAAATACTGTCATTTGTTCGTGGTGTTTTTTGCATTTTTGGAACGCACCTGGTCTGTGCGTGACCTATTGGACATTTATAATGATCGTGTTTTGTTTGGTAAGGTTTTCAACTCACTGCCTCGCACTCAAAGGCAGGACTTTTCAAATGAGAAGATATCAGAAGTGCTTCAGTTTTATTGATAATCTTTCATTTAGACAACACAAGGGTCAACAAAGCTTAAGATTTGTTGATACTGTCAGCATTTCTGTTAAACATCTCATTCAGTCTACAGAAACTGTGTTCTACAAGGCACAGCCATGAATTTCTGTCAAAATTCTGTAGACTGTTTACGGTTTAAAGTGGTGATGCACATGAACAGAATCCTGTAAAAAGCATTGTGTTAATTTCTCTGGCTCAAAACAGCTTCCACCTACTTGTCTGGTTTGCGTTCTTCACTCTGTGCCCGTCTCTGTGCGAGGGCTCCGCTGGCCCTTCTCCTCCGCTGCTCTTCCCTTTTCTGCTGGATTCGAGCATCCAGCTTGGAGATTGTTCCAATCCCCAGTATGGAGTCCTTGATCCCCTAATGCACCCAGGCCAACATAATGTTTTAGGACTTTCTTCAAAATGAGTCAATCTTTATCAAACACCTAAATTGTCTAGGTTTCCAGGAAGGATTGATAAAGTCAGATAGCAGCAGGCACAGTAAGAGAGTGATTAAAAAACACATCTGAATATGTTTCCAGGATTCTTTTGGACCTTGCAGTTTATCGTTGAGCTGATTGTTCAAAGAAAGATGTCAAACAGAGCCCAAACTTGGCTGTGTGGGTTGGCAACAAGGTTTCTGAGAGAAGTACACAACCAGTAAAGATTTAATGTCTCCAATACATGCGTGATCTTCACTGACCTACACCAAACACATGACATCTTATGTTTATAAGAGCTTTTGTATCAAGCAGAGTTTAATGTGTAAATAATGTTCAAGTGTCCCTCCTCTTTTGGGTCTTTTAGTTCTTAACAAATCCAGCCGAATCATTCATTTCGACAACACAAGAGTCAACAAAGCTAAAGATTTGCTCTGAATGTCAGTCTGTTAAATTATCACAATCAGTCCATACCAGCTGTGTTCTCCACCGAAAAGCCAAGACATTTCCAAAATATGGAAGAAATGTGTGTCAGTTTCACATGATCTTGTAAAAAAGGTTCAGTCCATCTCTGAATGCTGAAGGTTTTACAGATGATGACAAACTGACAAAGATCCTACAATGTAACTCTGGGATAGCTCCATAACTTCTTTGAATTAGTTCTTGGTGAGTTTTCTTACGATTCAACGCATTCGGTGACTTTGTTTCATAGTAATTTACACAATGTTGACTAAACAGTTTCTATGTGTAATAACTTTTTATTAGTTTCAGTTCATTTTTATGGAGCTGAAAAAAAAAACAATATTTCAGAAAGGCTGTATAGATTAAGTACTTAGAAATAATTGAAGATATAAAAAGTCTGACAAGTGATTTATACAGACATTACATTTTAATGACATCACCCTTAAAAAAAACACCTCTCATTTTAGATGGGTGAATATGTCAGACAGTTAAAAGATATTCAACTCCTTGAGAAATACTTCCTAAATACATCCTAAAGCTGTCCAGGCTGCATATTCCTCTTCAAAGTGGTGCTTATTGGATTTTGTCGTAGAGACTGAGCACCTGTCTCGCTGCCCATAAGCTACATAGTTGTGTGTCATGTCGCTGCTGGTGAGGAAGTGCAGTGTGTCTGTAGCTACTGACCATCGCAACATTGTGGAGGAAGGCCCTGACGCTGTCTGTCATCTCTGGACCAGCTGCAGATCCATCAACTGCAGAAGGAGGGGGGGGCGGTGACCTGATGGTCTGCTCTCATGGCAGGGAGGGGCTCACACAGCAACCTGACACAATTCAGGACCAAGGAAACACAAAATGAGGCCAGAAGCTAACAGATGAATGTGCTATGAGACTTACCAGAACCCCATCTGAATACACTACTACAGCTTCCAATAAGTTTGAAATCTACTGCAAATAACATATTTTCTTTTACCTTTCTATTTAGACTCTACTCCTTTATTCAGAATGTTAGGTAACCAGTGATATAACCGTTTTAAATAACACTGGCGAATCAGCATAATATGATCGAAAATAAATATGTAACACTACATTCCGAGAATGACTTGTACTTTTACTTTTCCACATTCTCCTCAATGGGGACCGTATATGTCACTCTTACAAACTACAAACTACTTGAAGGAAAACCATGTCATCATGACAGGTCTGATGGGACCTTTTGTCCGATAAAAGAGGAAAAGCAAAACAAAGATTTTGTGTGTTTTTTTGTTTGTTTTGTTTTTCTAAAAAGCCTTGTGCTTATTAGCGACCCAGCCTCCAGTTTGGCCGCTTAGGAACCTCACACAAAACATCTCATGTGCTTCCCTAAAAAGGCCTTCTGACAAAGTGAAAGATAGTTTATATTTGTGTACAGTCAGCGACACTTACTGACACTGAGTAAACGCAAGCGAGCTAGCTGCTTAGCTTAAATTAGTGACAGTGCTCTTTTACTGCTAAAGGGCCCCCGTCAGCCTCTAAAAAGGTGTTCAAATTTAATAAGAGTGTTGCCTTCTAGAGTAAAGTGCTCAGCACCATGCTTCTGGTCGTATAATGTTTGACTTTAGGTGGTTTAAGTACTATGCTAGCTCATCTCCCTGTTCCTAGCTAAGTGTTAGCGCTCAGCAACTAATTTAACTGTTTTGTTTTTTGTCAAGACAACACATCGACAGGGGACGAAACTGAAACAATACAACACACTGTGAGCCACGGCGTTCTCCTTACCTCATGCGACAGGCTCGGGGTTAAAACCTCGTTAATTTGTTATCTTTCGCCCCTTTTAAAATGACAAAAACAAACACCAAACAGACACCCCTAGCAGCTAGGGCCGTGGAAAACACATTGCGCAAGCTCCGGTTGCTAATAACCATGGGAGATGTAGTCTGTTACATGGAACATATTTTTTTAAGTATATGTAAGGTAGAAAATAACTTTTAAACGTAATATCCAGACAGAGAGAAACTTTGAGTCGAATTTTATGTTGGAAAATGGCTGTATCTAAGTACATATTTTCTATTAGTATAAGCATTGAAAGGAATCTTATGAGCTTTTGACAGAAGTTTCTTCATAAAGTTTTTTATTTAATTGATTACAAATTACGGTTATATTTCAGGTTTGAAATACTATAATGGGGACATCGTTTTATTTAAGATTACATATTTTTGTTTTGAAAAAGAAAATTCGAGATGATTATATAAGACACGATTAATTACATGTGGTAATAATGACAACTAAATATATAGATAATCGTGTTACGGGAGCCATTCAGTGTCACTTACACAAAGAGAAATCCTGCAACTGAGGTGAGCGTATAGGCTTGACACGGGCACTCCCACGAGGCTGTGAGTTTTTCATCACTCGCTGCTCTGCGCTCAGATGAGGCTGTAAACTCGTACCACATCAGACTCTATGTTCCTGTATGGGATCACACACCACCGATGGTTGTCGTAAGGATAAGAAGTGTGCACAAAAGGAAATATGCACTAATTTGCCTGTGCATAGCTGGCTTTATCGTGTACAAATATCTCGGGTAAGTCATAACAATTTCCTTTAATTCAGGTGGAGCAGTTAGTGCCTCATCACTGTTTACTAATTCTTTATACATTTAAGTGTTTTGGAAAATATACACTGTATATTGTATTGGAAAATATATAATTGAAGATTATTATATATGCAAACTTAGTTGTAAGCAAACTAAGAAAGAACGTATAAATAATATCATAGATAAGCCAAAAATAAATAAATAAATAAATTGGTTTGAAAGCCAAGATTTAATCCATGCATTTTTTAAGTTTGTTTAGCCTTAACAAACTGATGTGTCCCTGTTTCTTTTAGATAGTTTCTGGCATCTGCAAATTCCTGTCCAGCATGTCATGTGGTCGGTACAATGTGTTCATTATGTGTCGCGTAATATGATTGTGACTAAAACAATCCTAAACTACTCCTCTAGTATGCCAGCAAGGGGGTGGAGGACAAGCAGAAAGGTGGGGCTGGGCGCCAACACGTCGCAGTTCACCCTGGAAGGAGAGCCTTTCCGGATAGTCGGGGGATCCATTCACTATTTCCGCGTGCCCAAGGCCTACTGGAGAGACCGCCTGATGAAGATGAAGGCCTGTGGCATAAACACCCTCACTACGTAGGAACACCTCAGCACCTTGTGTGTTTCCTATCACAATCTTTGCCACCAGTTGAGTGTAAACCAAGACCATCCTTTGCAGATTTGTGCCGTGGAGTCTGCACCAACCAGAGAAGGGGGTTTTTAACTTCCACACACAGCTGGATTTAGAGTAAGGAGAATGTTCTTTTATTTGTGCTGAATGCCCAACATTCATGACTAATTGACAGCTGAACGGGTCCATGCAGAAAACTGAGCTCGAAAATATCCATAATGCAATTTAAAAAGCGCCTTGCACCACCTTTGTGGCTGTGCTAACAACATTACAAACTCCTGAGGCGTTTTGGGAATACTCTCCCTTTCCCCTAATCATCTAAACACTCTCACTCAGGGGAGGAACAGGAGTTAGAGTCCTGCCTGACAACAGCAGCGTCTCCACAACAACAGCAGCACAGCAGTGATGAGTGAAGACGAATGAGACTCATGACATGGCTGTCATCTTCAGATATTATTCCTGCCTTACAAAAACAAAAAATTAGGGCCTCACCAGAAATGTAGTTTTTATTTTTGTGTAGAACAAACTGTCTCCTCTTTCTGACTTTCAGAGCTTACATCAGTCTTGCAGCTCAACTGGGCTTGTGGGTGATTTTACGTCCGGGGCCGTACGTCTCTGCTGAGCTGGACTTAGGAGGGCTGCCAAGGTAGCGCTGGTATTCTTTCCACATATCTTCATTTGTATGCACATATCTTCATTTGTATGTTCAGAAAATCTGAAAAAATCTGAATCTCATCCTTGAGAACTGCTCAAATCTGAATATGTAAGCAAATTCTGGACAGCAGCTCAGAGCTGCTTCATCTGAGCCACAAAAGTACATGTATGTTTTTAGTTGAGAGGTAAGACTTTGCATCTAAGGAAAAACTTGTGCTGGACTCTCTGAAGCGGCTTGCTCTCTGTCTTGCAGCTGGCTCCTCAGAGATGGCAGCATGAGGCTGAGGACGACTCACCCAGGCTTCACACAGGCCGTCAACACGTACTTTGACAAACTAATACCAAAACTGGTCCCACTGCAGGTCTCTGTTTCTCCCCATCAGCATTATTCAGTGTTTAACATGCCATCCTGATGATAAGATATCTATTTGCATATTTTAGTACAAGAAAGGAGGTCCCATCATTGCAATGCAGATTGAAAATGAGTATGGATCCTTTGCAAAGGATCAGAGTTACATGGCTTTTTTAAAAGAGGTAAACGTCTTTGCTTATTTTCCTTAAATTCTCCTTGGACCTTACATGCATAGGGGTGCATGGCTTGAATGGATCTTTATGTGTCTTATTTGGAGAGGCTTTGCAGTCCAGAGGGATCAGCGAGCTCTTGCTCACATCTGATAACCACAACACGTTGAAGTCAGGAGGTGTAAACGGAGGTGCTGTACGGTGATGCAGAAACACACCTACGCACACACACGTTCCCTCTTATTCTGATTTTACTTGTCATTTTATTGTAGCTCTCAGGTCAGTGAAGCTGCAGAAGCTGAATCAGAGGCACATCCTGGATCTGAATGCTGTCCAGGTGTGTGTCTTCCCTCTCCACATCAGTTTACAGCCAGAACACACAGCGCATGTGCCGCCTGAGCTGTCACTGTGGGCCTTTCTTGTATTGTTTTTCAGCCCAATAGCCCCTCTATGGTGATGGACTACTGGACAGGCTGGTATGATGTTTGGGGGGAACTCCACCATGTGCTTCCTCCAGAGGGTAAGGACTGTCCACCTTATTATCTGTGGATTTGTAGGTTAATCGACATGCATGTCTTGGTGCAAATAATCTAATAGTCATTTTTATGAAGCAAAACCTCATCCAATCAGGAAGAGACACTACCCCATGTTTTCTTTCTTCTATAAAACCTCACTCATGCTCAATTTATCTCCTCATTTAACTCAGTAACTCAGAACAAAAACTCTCACATTTATTTGTCATTAACCATCCATGTTTAAAATCAAGGACAGAACACTTTATTGCCAATCTACCACATTTGGCTTTTTTTTTATTCCTGTATTAGTGGCTCTAAGCAGGGGGCTGATAAGCAGAACCACCTGATTGTTTGAACTCAGTTATTTCACATTTGTCCTCCTGGCTCAGGCCACCTAGGGTTTGGATTAATGAGTGGGCTGCATTCTGCTTCCCTCAGAAGGGAGATGCATCAGGCCCTGCCTGTGTGGAGCATGTACCCTGGTCTGTGTATTGTTAATGTACAAAAGCACATAATGCTCTAATTTTCTATACACAAATGCTTTCTCTCACTATTTATTAGAGGCAGAATATAATTTACATGCCAACAGTGGAAACGCAAAAGTGAAAATAGGGCTCGCACCACTTTTGCATGAGTCATTATTCAAACGCTGTATTTAAAAAACAAAACCAAATGTGGTCGTTTCTCACCTGTTGAAGAGCGTGACCCTTTGATCCCTGTTTCTAAGGAGACACATTGTAAGTTTGGGATGTTGACTTTTTTTCTGCCAGACATGGTGTCGACTGTGAGGGAAATCCTGAGGCGAGGCATGTCTGTCAACCTCTACATGTTCCATGGGGGGTCCAGCTTTGGATTCATGAGCGGCGCTCTCGCCAATCCGTCCTACAGAGCTTTAGTCTCCAGCTATGGTCTGTGTTGTGTTGTTTCCACTCCTCTGAAACAGGCGGCTTTTATTTGATTTGATATTCTTTTAATGAATGGACATGATGAGAGAAAAAATAGCTGAAAACTCTGGGTGCCGTTGAAAGTTATTGAACAGCATTTCCCACAACACCCAGCAGGTGTCAGCATGTGAAAGTTAACACAAATGTACTTCTCAGATTATGACGCTCCCCTATCTGAATCTGGGGAATACACTCCGAAGTACCATCTCCTGAGAGATTTACTGTCTCAATTCAACAGTGAGTGCGATCCGAGGCTAGGCACTCAGTTTATACTGTTACTGACCTCCTTTGCTTGATGAGTTTGGACCTCTCTTTGCAGAAAAAGGTGATAGTTTGCCAGATTTGCCAGCCCTGCATTACAGGGAAGCTTATGAACCTGCAATCATGTACCAGCACCTGTCTTTGTGGGACGCTTTGAGCTTCACAGTGGGAGTACGTTTTCAATCTCAAACTGACTAAACTCTGCACTGACTGGGATGTTGTTTTCCAAAATAATGAATCCAACTATCTTTGCAGCCGTTTAAGTCACATAAGCCTGTGAACATGGAGAATCTGCCTGTGAACAATAGGAACGGTCAGTCTTATGGCTACACCCTGTATGAAACCACCATCACCAGTGGAGGATTGTTGAAGTCTTGTGATAATGTTCGGGACCGTGCCCTGGTGAGTCGTTACAGCTTGTAAAGATGTGATCTCTGACCTTTTATGTTCCAAAGCGGCTGCCTTACAACTTAAACTAAAATCAAAGGAAAGCAATTAATCCCCTCTGTATTATACAATTATCTTGCGCATAACACGGTGGGATCTCTCTTATGTCACAAGCTGAAAATGTAACAGTGACCATTTCAGAGGACGTTTGTCATGATTTGATGCTTTATAAATAAAACTCAATTGAATTATGGCAAAACGAAAGCTGTTTTTTCAATAATTGGAATTGGAAAATTGCCTCGCTTAATTCCTTTCAGTTATTTTTTATGGCAGAAATAAGTGTATTTCCTTAAATCCTTTACCCGTTGTTGATTTGGCTGATGACAAACAAAAGGGTGTGATGCTTTTTCATAATCCCTAAAAACTTCAGAGCGCCAAAGATGTAGCATACAATGACAAATAAATGTATAAAAAATGGCCATTGCAATCTATGGAATTACAGGTCTTTGTCGTTTGGTGAGGTGCACCTGAAAATATGGTCTTTTATGTAATGTATGGGGCTCATTTGGTCAGTTTTCTATTCTCTATGGTTTTCCCTTTAAGGAAAATTGTTCTGTTTTTTATGAGTTCATTCAGAGCCATATTCAGTGATTTGAAAAAAATGAACAACCTTTGTCATTTCAGGTGTTTGTAGACAGAAACTATATTGGTCTTTTCAAGCGGCACAGCCTGGAGCTGGCTGTTCCAGATGGACAGGTATGAACAACACAAAAAATTAAGCGTTTTATTGGCTGTCACAGGGGCTGAGGTGGCGCCTCAATGGCTGTTAAATCTATCTAAAGAAGGGGAATCAATTGATCCCAACAGGGGCAGCGCACCTTGAGTTTATTGGTGGAAAACTGCGGTCGAGCACACCGTGGAAGGGACCTTGACAAACAACATAAAGGTGATTGACAGAAAAAGCTGCGGTTCATAGCTGTGTCTGCTGTTAAATCCCTCATGCACTCAGAGGGGAGTACATGAGTCATTTTTGATTTGTGCTCTTTCAGGACTAGTGGGAGATATTTTATTAAACAACATCCCCCTGCGGGACTTTACAATATACAGCCTGGATATGAAACCCAGCTTTATCGACAGGTTTGTACACTTTATTATTGCATATTGCACCCCGCATATCACTTTGATTTCTTTTCAGTAAAGTATTTAAACTCTCTTTTATTTCAGTCTATATCAGGCACCTTGGAAAAGTCTCCCAGAAAGTCCCATGTTTCCTGGATTTTTTGTAGGGAGGCTGTTTGCATTTGGATATCCTAGCGACACGTTTGTCAAACTGCCAGTGAGTGTAAAATGTGATTTGTATTCACGTGAAAAAAATATGTTGATGAGTCTATACAGTTCCTATAAATTAACTTACCCTCACACCAAAAGAGTTAAAAACTTATGAAAATAAATAAAATAACCAAAATATGGAAAATAGATTTAGGTTATTTTCATAATTCAAATATATTAAAATAAGGGAAGAAAAAGGTGTCTTCACAGAAGCTTTAGCACAGGAGGCACTGAAAAGACTCCCAATCTTGGCACCATAAAAGTCTTTTTATGGATATATGTTTATGTAGATGTAAAATGTCTATGAGACAGACAGTAGAGATATTTCTACATCTACTTGTATTTTCCACAACTGTTTTTCAACGTGTGATTGTCAAAAACCTGAATTGATCTTATTTGGAGCCTCCAGGGGTGGGAGAAAGGAGCTGTTTTCATAAATGGACTGAATCTGGGCCGGTACTGGTCTATTGGCCCACAGCAGACTCTCTACCTCCCGGGATCCTTTCTCAATAGTGGAATCAATCAGGTAAAGTTCTGCACAGACAAGATTTTGTGATAGAGATAATTAGATGCAGCAAGTGCATTTGAAATAGAATTTTTTAACATTAATAGCTGTGTCCATCAGTTAAAGTAGAAGCCTTCGGTCAGTGAAATAGACTGAGCTGTGCCATTAAACATACAGAAACTAATTCCCACTCAATATATTTCCATAGAGATAGCCTCTCCATGTCTTACTTACACTTTGTATTTTTAGGCTTTGTGAATATGCAAATTGGCCTCTGCCTTTTGCTGCGTGCACATTGCTAATGAGGTGCTACTGAATTAGAGTAGACAAACTTGGATCCAGGCCACATGCCCTGAAAAAGTTACCACTAACTCCTACAAATGGGGGACTTGCATTTATTTTTATTTTTTTTTAAGTGATGAAATCCTCAGAGAAAAGCTTAATTTGGTGTGACTGCTTACTTTTGCCGCAAGGAAAAAAAAAACTACAAAGATTTTGAAATGTTAGAAAATGTAATTTTCTTTAATGATGTTTCTGAATAGATTGAAACATATGCATGGCAATGGGGAATTTCTGTGCAGTTGGTCAGCACATTAAGATAAATACAAAGGTCAAATAAGGTCAGTGTTTTCTTACAACATGACATTAGAATACAATTCATATTAACCTGACCATCTTTTGATGTCAGAGAGGAAGCATCTGCAGTTTGGTCCACATGCTGTAAATATGATTTAGACATTGTGTTTTCATTTTGGCTTACGGGTCCAATACACTGCATCTCATACTCTTCAGCGGAATTGTTTGAGCATGGCCGTACCGTTGGTGTGACTATGAAGTTTATGATGCATTTAAATACATTTTTAAACCTGGTAAAGTAAGCATTGCTAAAGTGGATGACACCTTAACATTGGTGGCTATTCATAGTTTGTGTTTATCCATTTGATGGTAAAAATATAACCTGGTGCATTTCATAAGTGAAAGAAATACGATTTTAGGTCCTTTGGACTGAACAAACTGTGTGGCTAATTTAATTAGCTTTGTAACTTAGCTGGATGCTAAATCAAAATCCCTGTTTTACATACATGATTATTACTGTTTGTGCTACTTTGTAACAATTCAAGAGGGTCAATTTCTAACAACTCTCTTTCTCACTTTGTTTATGAATAAGATAATCGTGTTCGAGGAGCAAGAGGGAGACTACAAAGTCCAGTTTGAGAATGCACCTGATCTGGGGATGGCAGCTGATATCCAGTGACCAGTATCTCATCCTGATTTGAATTATGTCCATCGATGTTTCTTCTTCTGTGACTATAGCCAAATGCAAGGGTATTTAGGATGGATGATGTCTAATATGATACCTGAAAAACATAAAGTTACATTTTAAACCACATTAACACTCACAGACACAGTGATGTCTGCATGAGGGCAATATTTTTTACATATTTACATATAGTACCTTTGGTTGCAATGAATATTTACACAAAAATCATCAAACTTCTTCTTACCCGTGAATTTCCCATAACATGTTTTTTATTTCTGTGTTGGATATGTTTCTTACATTGTTAGGTTTGTATTGCTTGTGTATGTTTTGAAAAAGATGGGTACTGAAAGTAATGCGTCTTCAAAATGTAAAAATTCAAACATTGTAAGCTGAGGCAAAAATGAACAACTTTCAAATGAAACTGAAGCAGCATTGTTGAGTCATCCCCTTACCTTAAAGTAAAAGTGAAACATTTCCAGTGCCCATCACATTGATAAGTGTCCAAACTCTGAAATGTCAGAGTTTGAGCATAGATTTACATTTTGAACAGCTGCGATTGTAGGTCAGTGGCGAATGAAAGCATCCCCAGCAACCCATGCTTTTCAGAGTTATATCTCCCTATTTAACCACATAGTTAAACAAAGAGCAACAATATACATCTAAAAAAGCCTTCTGTTCACCCTTTGAAACCTTAATTAGTTTTGATGGAGCCTGTGAAGTGTACAAGCCACTAACAAATCCCTTAAAATGACTCCAGTTCAGCGTTGTCACAGCATTTCAGGAACAAACAAGTACATTAATATGAGAAAGAGCATTGCTGCTCAGCTGTAATAAACCGCTGCTCAGAGTGTTAGTGATCAAGTGTGAAGGAGTGTTGAGCAGAAACAGAGCTCCTAATTAGTGCTGAGTTCAGGGTCCTACCTAAATAGCTCAGTGTTGTACAGTACAAGTAAAGGGACTCAGATCCCATCAGTGCTATCTGTCAGTCAGTGCCGATTCCCCTCAGACAATGGCATCTTTTATTCCTCTGTGCAGATCTGTGCCCGTCGGGCCGCTTGGCTTGGAACAAAAAGCCACATTAAGTACTGATTGGAAGCCTTGCTGGTGCTGTCTTTACAGAGAAGGCTCTTTATTGCACACTGCTCCATCTCTTTCTCCAATTGAAGTCGGGTAACATCCTTTGTCTCCGCACCCCGAGCGGACCTCAGAGGGCAAGCTCCTTTTGGCAAGCCCAGCCAGTGTCGACCAGAACAGGCTGCCTGTGTTCGTGCAGTTATGCTACAGTGCACTGTGTTTAGTCGTGCACAGGGCTTTGTGCCTCCACTTTTAATCTTCTGTGAAGTGGAACTACTGTGCGGTTGTAATTATTAGCCCTCGGAGCACTGCGGTTGGTTTGGGTCCAGGCAAAATGCAGCAGAGATTTTCGCTCTGGAACAAAAAACATGCAATTAACAACAGTTACCAAAGAAATAAGGACAAGGACAAGATCTGATGGCTATCGAAGAAAAGTTTGGGAGGGTTTAATAATTCCATGTCATATTGGATATATCTTGGATGTCTCTAAAATGATCATTATCAATTTGAAAGCCTTAACACTACATCTAATTTGGATTAGGGTTAGGGTTTTCTTATTTGTTTTGATTCAATAATTGATATAATTGAGAACAAAACAGAAATTGATGCCTTGGCTGAGACAGACTTTTAATCTTATTTAATTGAGTTCCTTACACTTTACAAACTCAAACTAGGTGGCACTCAAATGGAATATTTTGAATTATAAAATGCATAATTTTCATTTTTATCAAGCGTAAAGGAAATGCTATGTATGGCTGTTAAGATTTGAGACCAGTTCTGAGCTTAGTGATTGTAAACGCCTATAAAACTGTAAATGGAAACCTGCACACGCACAATGATAAATACAAATACTCAAGAAGTCCTTAAAAGTCACTATTTGTCAGTGAAAGACCACTTTACTCTTCATATTTTAGAGTTTTGAGATTGGAGCCCGGGTTGGATGATTTGCAATCAGCGATGGAAAAGTGAATCATGAATTGTCTGATGCAATTAAAGATTAAAATGAGTATCCGTCATGAATCGAGTAAATTCAGCAATGGTTAGAAAGACTAAAGTGAAAGATTTTATTGTTATCAAATTATTGCGGCGCTTGAGTTAGTCAGTACGACTGTTTGGAGGAAAGCCAAGACAGTCAGTCCACATATATTCTGAAATATGATTCATTATATGTCTTTGTCAGAAAACGAACCATCAGTTAGAAGCATTTTTTGTCAGGATAATAAGATATTCAGTCATTGCATTACTCTCTGATGTTACCTGTGTCAGATGAAGGCCATCATATCTCCACATTAGAGTCTGTAAATCCTTTCTTTCCCTCATTTACCAGCACCGGCTTCTCTGTCCGTGTGTGCCAAACTAATACCTGAGGGTTAGAGGAGAGGTATGCAATATTATCAATGCAATCAATGTGATGAAGTACTAATGCAAAAAAAAAGAAAAAGAAAGGACAATGATGAGGAGTTGTGCTGTGTATACTGCATCAATGTCACACGAGGTTTGAAGGCTTTTGAGCCAAAATGGTTCAGTTATAAGATGACAGATTTATGGCTTTAGGAGAAAATAGGAGGAAATACTTGGTCTGAAGACCACAGACACTAACAGGAGCATCCTGTTTATTTCAGAACCACAAAGAGTGCCTCCTTGTCTTACCTTAGTGCAGTTAGAGGCTTTAGGCTCCAGGTCGTTCAGAGTGACCAGTTCCTTTAGTAAGCTGCTCTCCTGATATCCTCCCTTCACTCCTCGTAACTTGAAATAAGCCTGAGGTTTGGACAGAAGGAGGCTCAGGTTGATTGCGAACCCAGCCATGTCGATGGCAAAGGGCCGGTGTGGGTCGAAAACCGTTTTCCAGCCGTACACCTTGCCCAGGGTGTTCACTTTGGGGGACTCATATCTTAAGCCACCCACAAACGCCACCGGCCAAACCGACACTTTTTTAGTGGAACGAATCTGTTAGAAATAGAGAAACAACTTGCTCATGAACCATTTTGAATTCCACAAATGTAAAACACTTGAGGCACGAGATGAGGAGACAAGCGACCCCTCACCTCTTCAAACAGCTCCAGACTGTACGTGTTGTCATCATCTGCAAAGTAAACCACGCCGGGCTGAGTGCTGTTCACACCCAGCGTCTCTCTCAGCCACCGCAGAGCCAGGTTCCTCTGCAAGGTGCCCCTCGGTACTCTGGGGTTCCTGCTGTCCCCGCGCACTTTGTAGTTCTGAGGCGTCTCCACGCTGAGGTGGGTGTAGTTAAGCCCTGTGTCCCGCAGGAGACGGCTAACCAGGGCGGTCCTCCTGCTGGAGTCCTCCACCAGGATCCAGTGCAGGTTGGACACGTGGAGCAAAGTGTTGGCCAGCCGGGTCAGCTCGGCCTTCTGCACCGCCCGGGTGTAGGTGGGGGTGATGACGTGGATGGTGGGGAGGACGCTGGACCAGGGCGGAGGGCGCCGGTAAATGTACTCCGTCCGCACCACCTCCACAACCTCCCGGCTCTGAGGTGAGAGGGATTCCTTAAAGAGACGGGTGTTTCTGGAGTCAGGGTGACGACCATGTGGGCCGTCTGACCAAGAGCAGAAATGATCACAGTGAGCTTCTGTTTGTGAGGACGGGAGCATGTGCACTTTTCACCTCTATAAAATACACATGAGAGCCTCTCCTTGATATTTAAATAGACAGACTTCATGTTCTTCCTTCTCTGACAATATAGGTCGCTAATGCAGAGGTAAAAGCCGCACATCTGGAGTGTTTAATTCCGACAAAAAAATGAGTATTAACTGTTGAACACTTGAACAAATTACAACAAGACCTAATCTTTATGGAAAATAAAAACAGTATTATCATTGTCTTTAGACAACATGAACAAATCTAGAATTTGGGACCAGCGACAGCATTGTGTTACATCAAACCACCTTTAGATTAATCAACTTCTAAATTTGGGAACTAAAGAAACTAATGGTTGTAGTCTGTGTCTAGTTTAAAACAGCCTTATTTTCTTCTTCTACAATTCAAACACTCTGGACTTTTTCCTGGACCTGAAGCTTTAAGCTCTCAGTGGTGGGGAGTATTGGGTTATAAGCAGAAGATGGGCCTTCACATTTGAACCATGTGGCTGATATTTCTATTTGTGCTGCTTGGACTGTTTGTACTGTCTAGCCAATTAGCATTTGGGTATTTGAAGAGCACTTGAGCGTCACATCTGGAGCACTTCCTTTTTCTTATGTACTGCTTAGAAGCCTATGCTCCCCACCAACTCGCTTAGAGCCAAAGAAGCCTTTAAGATGATGTCCTGACTGTTATTTTTTACCCTTTTGAGCATCAAGCAGGGAAGTGATGTTGCTCTGATGCCAAACAGTGATGAGAAGCGTCCAAGGCAACACAATCAATACGACGGCAACGATGTCTCGTCTCTTCGGCATCTCCAGAGTCGGCCCTGAGTCGTGTCATAACCTGCAAATCAGACGACACACGACAAGGCACACAGTCATAAAACCCGATACCTGTAAAATGAGGAGTACTATTAAATACATACAGCTTTAAATAGAGTTAAAACTCTAAAAATGCTCTCCACTCTTTCTCTCTGACACCAAAGACTATTTCCGAACACTCAGTTTGATACCAAACTGCTGCTTCACAATTAGTCAGAAACCTTCAGGAAGTGTAAATATCCATATGATATTTGATTAATTTAAACGCATTAATGAGTTATTGTGTTCCTCAGGCCATTCATGTGATTGCCTGTTTTACATGATACTGAGAGGTCCACACATAGTGGACTGTGTTCAAAACGCACATACTATAGCTGCTAGGCTCAAACTACAAGGAAGAGGGCCTTTTGTTGAGAAGCACAGCAGAAATATGGGTCAGACACCGCTCAGAGCTTTCTGTTTCATCACGAATGAACGCATGGGACTGTATGAGAGAACAACGGAGCTGGTGATTTGAGGATGATGGCTGAAAGACCCACATCCTCTCCCGGGTGTTCTGACGAGTGGATGCAGATGTGATCTCAGTGCAGATGAAACAGTGTTCCTTTATGAAATGATAAAGAAATTAAAATATAATAACAACAACAACTATCATAAATTTGCTGCAGAAAATGTCTTTCTTGGAGATTTTGAGAACACGATCATGTGCCATCAGGTCTTAAATGATGAACAATATGTTTTTAAATGCAGACAATTATTGGGACTGAGGTTTGAAGGTTCTCACAGTCCATCCCTGGAGAGGATTTTATTGTGTTTGGCTTTTGTTTCAGGCTTTATTGCTCACTGTCATGACTCCGGGGTAAAACACACCATTACAACAGCAACATATTCATGTGAGCCATATGTTTTTCATCAGAAAAGCTTTACTATTACCACATCTGGGTCACAGAGAAATCCTCCGTTGGTTATCCAGTTTTATTTCACACTGAATTAAAACTATTTCCACTCAAGCAAAACTGGTGAATTAGACTTTTTTGCTGTCAAAATGCTCGTTGACATCTAACTCTGTGTGGCAAAGTGCTAAAAGTAACATTTATTTAAGATAATGTTAATCACAGACATTTTATACAGGGAGAGAGCTAAAAGTTACAGGGCACCCCCTTAATTCAAGCCCTAAAGATAAAATGATATTCCTGAATACCCAAGTAGGTAATGGTTGAGGGGGCCTATCTTTCAGGCTAAATCCAGAACATGATGGACAGCTTCTAGTTTTTCATACTCACAGACTTCTCTGCACTCCCTAAAAAAAGCACTGACCCTGATGCTTTGCCCATTTGGTTTGTGTGTTTGTTTTATCATTTTTTGTGTGCTTTACTTTATATTTTTGTCGAAACAGCTCGTGTACACGTACCTCGCACACGCCAAACTCTCTGCGTGCGTTTGTTTACCCTCTCTTCACAGGACATCTGCTGATTATTCAAATCTCTTTAGACATAATTAGTCCTTGATTAAAAAGGATCAACCCCCATCTTTGATCAAAGGCTGGGCTGGATAATTAACACAGCAGGACAGGCTTAATGGGGTCATATTCAAAGAGCACGCCAGTGATACAGTCGAGCTAACTACCAGTGCATTTAGCATAGAGATGATTCCATCTCATCACCAGTTTGGATCCATGTTCCAGGCTGAATTTGTTCATGAATGTCATAGTGGAGAGCGGGGTCAGGCCCTGGTGACCGGCCAGAGGGTGCCAGGTTGGATTCCCGGCTTGGTACCTTTCCTGCGTACAGTTTGCATGTTGTCCCTCTTTGTGTGTTGTGACAAATCCTATTCCCACTGTCCAAAAACATGCATGCCAGGTTAATTTGTTTCTCAATTGCCAGTAGGAGTAACCGTGGGTTGTTGGTCTGTGTGCTTTTGCCTTTCTTTGTAGTCCTGTTTGTGTCCATGAGTGCATTCACAGCTCCATAACAGCGCCGATTTCACCCGAACATGTTTAAGCTCCTCAGGAAAGAACCATCAGCAAAAAAAAAGAGGAATCATTTTCATAAATGACACTAATCTGCGTGAAAGTAGAAAGCCTCACTGCGTGCTGTAACATTTCTTTCACATCCATAACATCGTGTTAAGACATGCATGTGCAATTGGGTTTGCTGCAAATGTCTATCCTTGAGCACATGCAGAGGTATCTGTGGGCACAGATAAGAGTTTAGCCAGCAGCTCTTCACCACTTTATCCTGGAGCTGCCTTTAAGACAATCCCAATGTTTGCATTGATGGGAAAATTAACCTTACTGGCATGGTCCAGCAAATATATATTAACCTCAAATGCCTAGTTACCTCTAGATAACGGCGTAATTAACCCATTTGCACCACATCCCAAGCTTCTCATATTGGATTTTTTAAAGCCTCTCTGGGTTGATCTCTACAGTACATTAAAATGTTTCTGTTGGATAAACAAACAAATAAATAAATCAACAGTGTAAAAATCCAGAGCTTAATATAAGTCCCGGAAATTTAGTCAGACCTCTCTATCTCAAACCTCACGACTCTCATCCTTTACTCTCTAATGGTAGACTGGATCACAGAGCTTCGCTCAGTGCATAAAGAGATTGAAACCTTCTTACTTCCCAGTGTTTGAATGTATGGAGCAGTGAGTGAAAACTGAAAAGTGGGCTCTCTCTGCATCAAACCTTTCAGCAACAATCCCATCTCAGCATGCACTCAAATGCAGGCGCTGCTGGGAGCTGAAAAGCAGCCTAGAGTGACGCCAGCAAAGCAGAAATAATATGAGATCCAGATAAGTCATCTTAAACCCCGCCTATGGACTGAATTGTGCTCAGGCTTTTTGCCAACAAGTATGTGAAGTCCTTCACTCTCAGAGACTCTTCATCTGCTGCAGATCATTTTAAGGCCTCTCGTGTCACGATTTGTCAAATTTCCTCATTTTGGGGACACACAGCTCAAGAAACGTTTCTGAGAAGGGGGAACGAGTGATTCGTTTTTTCGGCTTTCTGCCACTATCAACATGGCCAAACAATTCTATTTCAGATTTGATTTTCACCACGATGCTTCTGTATTTGTTACTGAGTAACAACAATGACATTCATGTTCCCTTAGTTCCGTAATGAATCCACAATAACATTCGAAGGATACTCACAGTTGTGAATTTTGATCCAGTAAATTTAATCCCGTTGTGCAGAGACTCCTCAAGTTCCCTTTGTTGGAGGAAATCTGTACTGACATAACACCCAGTGGGCAACAGCTCACAGATTTTAGCCCCAGCATCCACAGGGTGCTATCCAATCCTCGGGCAGGGTCGTGTCTTCTGTGCCAGCCCTGTAGAGACAGAGGAGGTCATCCCTCTGGAAGAATGCTGCTTCTCATTCCAAAAACAAAGGCTGGGATTGTCATTGCTGGCGAGCGAGTGGGGTGGAGGGGCAGCCACGGCCAGAGGACTCAAAACAATAGAATGCATCTCATGAATATGTCACAACTCCATAACTGGGGGTTTTTTCTCTGGGAATGAAAACTGATTTAAGAATAATGAGATAGTGATGGTGGGAGCTGTTAATCTACAGCAGCGACGCAGGCAAAAAGGCTGCAAAGACAACTCTATTGTGAGAGATTTCATTCCCTGACGTGCTCTCTAAAGGAGAGCCCTTTTAACTGAACTCTTTGTTGGAGACGTCGGATGTCGGGATGCAGGTAGAGCTCACAGGCGGAGAGAAGGCATTGGGCAAGTGACTCTGATGTCGAGCCTTCGTAAAAAGAAGCCAGTTGGAATCAGACCAAATATGTCAGAGCTATAGAAGTGTTCTAGCAGCTGGAAAAAACCCCAAGGCATGTTAATCAAGTTGAGGAAGAAATGTTTTGCTTGTCAAAGAAGAATCGATGTGTCACCACAAAAGTATTTCTTACTGAGCGCCATGCTGGGTGTATCAGTATCAAGTAAGACGTACAGTGATGTCTTTTCCTTCTTTTTTTCTGCAAAGTTTCTCTGGTTTAACTGGACATTGACACCAAATGTGAAGGCGACAAAACTTTCACAATCTGACAATTTGACAACTCGACAGTATCCCTCTCCTCTAACAATAATAACTCTAAAGATAATAGCTGTGGGGGATCATCAACATCCATCATGTCATGGTAAGATGTAAAGCATAGCCTCCAAACTTTACTCCCATTCTTTGCCCAACAAACTTTGTTCAACAATGATTATTCCTCTACCAATAGATTTGTGTCAATCTCTCCTAATTCAATTCGAATGGTTTCCCGAGGAGAGTAAAGGAGTGACTGGAACTCTGGGACTTTTGTGCTTGCGGTGAGGTCGACACCAGAGTTCAGGAAGGAGCGGTCTCAAACTGCCAAAGCTTGACAGGGAGGGGTGACACTGAAAAGACGAACACGGTATAATTTATACAGTCTGTGAAAATGTCCCAGTGGATAACACATCCTCCAAGGTTGCAGGCAGCAAAGGGATCCAAATAGGACAAGGCTGAAGTCTAGACACCCAGCTGAAATCAAGGAGAAACCAATGACCATTCTGTGACCTTTGAAACTGGACTACCCCAGTGCACAGAAGAGTGAACATGAGCGGTGCTAAATGCTTCGTCTTCACTGCTCGCAGAGGCTGCATCTGCATGCGAATGCCGCCTGTTCATGCGTGCCAGCTCCTCTGCGCTCTGCGGTGAATAAAGCTGGATGTGAGGGCATCATTTTTTTTCAAATATTCATAAGGAAAGGAAGAAGCTGTGCCCAAACAAATCACTGGGAAGCGGAGCCATTCCCAGCGGATGCTTGGAAAACGTCGCCCAGCCCATCGCAGGGCCACAGAGAGACAAACAACCACACTCTGCCTTTGCTCTTCCCTGTGCTCTGGCTTACCATCCTGGTCTGGGTTTCGGTCTTCATGGTTAGTCTCTGAAGTTTGTATGTTCACAGTTTATGTATTTCCCCAGATTGCTGCCTGGTTTGGGTCCTCTTCCTTCCATCATCGCCCAATCATAACATACACAGCAACAAAAGACAGAATTTACATCAATCTTCAGAAATCTGAAGATTTCTGAACTCAGGGTTCACTGTCACACACCAGTGTTGTTCGATGAACATCGTTCGTTGCATTGAGCCATAAACCAAAGCCACTGACTGAAAAAAGAGGATCGCAAAAGATTAGAATCGATCCAGAGGTGAAAATGTATTTGTATTGTGGATGAGGCAAAAATAAAGCTCAGGAAGCTCATTTCAAATAAAGAAAACTGCTTTAATATCCAAAAGGATCCCATAAAATTATTTAAATAGATGTGAATAGAAAAATAAAAACAATGTAATGAGTGAAACTGCAACAATCTTACATATGGGTGAATGCATAGCCTTGAAAAGATTTTTACAAGTACAAGCGGTGCTTTTTTCAGTGAGGGTGTTAATGAGATTTTGCAGCTCTGGAGGGGAGAATGTTCCCTCTTTAAGCTCGGTGTGCTTTGTATTTTTGAAATTCCTCCAGCACCTGGACAGCTTATGTACAGAGGAGGGCAATTAGTTGATGAAGGCTGCTGAGGACAGGGAGCTCAGGTGTGTGATAACCAGGACGGAAAGGTACCGAGTGAAGGTGTAGACACGAAAGAGGGGACTCAAAGCTGAGAAAACACCACGAGAAAATCACAAACCCGAAAGACAACTGAAAAAACAAAGAAGCATGAAAACTGGAAAACTCAAAGACAACTGAAACAACCAAGCCAAAGCCAACCAAGAACAAAGTCCAGAAAAAAAGACCCAAACACACGTCTGCTACAGTTTGCGGCCGTCAGCAGACACGTGAAAACCGGCCTCGTGCTTCCACAAAAACTCCCAACTGGCAGAAGATGAAGAGAAAACAGCTGACCGGACTTTACTCTGCACAGGAGACGGATGCAGCATCGTGTTAAGGAAACGGAGAGTCCTGTTTTTGAGCTCTCAAAACCAAAAAGGAGCTGAATGTCCCAGGAAACCAACTCTGGTTTGGTTCCCACAGCTCCAAAATCAAAGCCAGTTTGGGACGACAGGTTTCAGATGTTTCCCTGCTTCATTCCACCTGATTCAGACAGAGAAGATCTCTTTAAAAGTTCAGTGGTTTGACTCTGAGAGGTGTGATGAAGCAGGAAAAGCATCTAAAACTCTGACTTATAGGGTTTTGTGTGTGTGCTCGTGCTCTTCAGGGCACATTTAGCCATAAAGCTACCTCTAAAAGAAAAGGGTGTTTTTTACATTAGCAGGTGCATTTACACCGAAACTCCAACATCTGTGAGAAAATTTTGCTCCCACAGCAGTTTGTTTGTCATTCTTTCAGTAATTTGTGGCGATTCGTATCCAAAGCAGAACATTAGCTATTGTCAAGCCTCTTACAGAGAGTAATTTAATTCAATAAAATGCAGCCCTCCGCAAAATTACTTCACACAGCAACTTAGATGTTTGAAAAAAAAAATCTTGTAGCGCTGGCAGGGTATTTAATGGGGCCGATTCAAACCCAGCTCACTGACATTGGTAATGAGTTAAAACCATGTCATCATGAATTGAGATGATTCTTCCGCAAGAATCATTCAGATTTAGAAAAATAACCACACAAAATAAATAAACTTTTAGCTATTCAAAAACATGAAACTGACCCCAAAAGTCCACTAATTACTTTTGAATTTACTGAAACCAATAAAGAGCCAACCCTCCCCGACGTTCAGCACGCTCTCACAGGTTTGATTATGGTTTCAGTATGAATTAATCATGGCATGTACTTGGAGCTTGAGAATAATTTGATCAGGCCTCACTTGATATTCAGATTTTCCCCCTCTTTCGCATAATAAAAGTGTTGACAGACCGAGCAGCTATGCGTCTCTCGAGGCCATCAGCAGTCATTAAAGTTTGCATCTTATCGCTGGATAAATAAAAATGTTGAAATAACACAATGGAGCAGCATATCAGGATGCTGTTTTGACCACGTTGTACCTGCAGCATTATGACAGAATTCAAATCAGCAGCCAGAGGCAGACGACTATCAGCACCATAAAATAACACACTGAGTAACATTCAGCTGCGGTTGTAATTAGCTTAATCCAATTATTTTTTCATGATCAAAGTGAGAAACAACAACATTCTATGCAAGTAGTCACGGCTAATGAAGCAGCATCCTGCTTTGCCTTGAAGGGACGGTAGGATTGTAAATGTCTGAGAGAATGTGGCGATATTCACCAACGCACGAAGTGGGACTTTAAGCCATCCAGGCCCTGCCCTCCATGCAGGTGAGGAGATGCCATGTTTTCTTAAATGGGGATGATCATCAAGAGTCTTCATCACTCCACTTTAAGATGACACATGACCCATCCGTGGGAACCTGGTCCGATTTAAGCATATCCATCCATACCTCTTATTCCTAACACAGTCACGGGGGGATAAGCGTAATAAAAAAGAATAAGAATAATACACAATTACCAGAAGGTGCACGTTCACGAATAGGACCACAATGACATTTAGGTGCATATTCATTCACGTTTTGGTTTTACTGGATTTTTTTTGTTTTAACCTTAGAATTACATTAAAGTTTGCTCCAAGTTTGCATTACAAACGTCTCATATAAAAGATTATGATTGAATTTACAGGACTTTGCCAGCTGAAAGTCCATCTGAATGGATATCCAGACAGGGTTCCTATTAAGGTAAGAAGACATTCATTTGTTTAACAGCCAGTCCCACTCCTGTCAGAAGCAGCCATGCTGAAAGTTTGAAACACGGGGGCATGTCTGCATCTAAAGGAGGCAGCCGCACAGGTTCCATGCCCCTCTCATTCAAATATTGGCTTTGACTAGTTATTGGTGCGCTGTATTCTGATGGAGTGCTTGTTCAAAGGTGGAAAATATTTGTCTGTGGCTTAAAATGCTCCTCAGTAGAAAAACTGTTTAAAAGGGCTGTTTATCAGCTCTATTAGTTTTCTGCCTGTGCATCCTCACAGACAAACAAGGATTTCTTGATAATCGGTGTCTATGGAATCACTTACAAGTTTGCTTTTAAAATCAAATGACCCAAAAAATCCCCAAAATGCTACTTTTGTTATTAAAACATACTTATAAAATCATTATGTTCCTCATTTGCAAAAGATTGGACCGACAGGTCAGCAAATACTCACACTGCAAACACAATTATAACATCTCTTTTCTCCATGTTTACTCTTTGGAAACGACAACTAACTGATTGTCTTATCACGTTCTGTGGTTTTGTGCTAGCTTTCAGGAGCAGATTGCCTCACCTGGGAAAACTCCCCTCACCATCCTCTCTCTGCAGCACGCTTAGAGTGAGAAAAGAAGCTGCAACACCATGCAAAAGCAGAGCTCTTTTTCTGCTTCTTAATTGGCTCTGGCTGCGGATGCTGATATTACTTATTTATGTATGTAAACGCAAACTGATTCCTCCCCACACGTTAAAATAAGTCACTACCACACACTATTTCAGGCAGTTCAAACCAGTTCTATGTTGGAAAATATCATACAATTTTGTGACTGTTTGGATCATTGTACTAAACTTGTGCGTCAGTTTTCAAAACAGCTTCGTATGTTTCCTTGTTGGTCTTTTACAAAGCAGGTGGCTGATGGAGCTCTGGGGTGGGGTGTTTTTCACACCCTCTCGGGTGAAATATACATTTCCTATAGGATTCCTTAAGAAGCTTCTCTCCTTTATTGAATCTCTGACACAGTAAAGTAGGAACTTCAGAGGAGTCAGCATGCTGCCCCATATTGGAAAAAAATGCTGGTTTGGCAGGGTCCCGTTTCGTGTATTGATCTGCTCACCCAGCATTCCCTCTGCTTCAACTGAGAATTTGCCTCTGATCTGAACCAGCTTTGAAGCGGGCTGAATCGCCCACAAACAATCCAACTCAAGGACACTTTCTTTATGATCGAGTGCTCTGCAGAGCACACAGATAAAAAAAAAAATCACATATTTGTTGTGTGAGGGGTGATGATTCTCTCCCTAAGATACATCTGAGCTACTATTATCCCGGATTTCTAACAGAGGACACATAATAAAACACTAATTTTTCTTTGAATTAAATATCTGAGTTAACCTCCTGATCTCAACCAGATCTGATATACTTTGCAGCAGGGACTGAATATTTTTCTTGTTTTCATTAATTTCATACAGTGTGAAAACGGTGATGCAAAATCACAAAATACAAGTTGTGAGACGAAAAAAATGCAAAGAGTCCCCGGTAGATTCATGATGTATATATATCAATCAGAAAAGAAAAGAAGACACATTCCTTCTGTTGTCTTCACTTAACCCAATGGGATTAAAGACTAAATATCCAAAACATTTTCGCAACCAGACTCTGATTCACAGTTGGTGTCAGACTTTTCTCGGCTTTGTATTTTGGGTCCTTCAGCACTCTGTATTTCTTTTGTTCTTCCTCAGCAGGTGTTTCTGTGGTTGAGACGTCATCCTCTGCTTTTAGATCATGCATCAATACTCAATGTCTAAGTCAAATTCACAGACTTCATTCGTACAGAACAGAGTCGAGATAAAAAAAAAAAAAGATGTATCTTAAGTTAGGTTCACATTCATGAAACAAGATGTAGTCATTTCTATTTGACTGTGACAGGATCACTTTTCAGTTTTAATCCAGGATTCTTCCTGGTTCTCCCAAAAAGACTTTGAGACTTCAGGCAGATTAACGTATTATTCAATTTTCTTACTCTGACTGTGAGTTGAGGCAAAGCCAAAGCCCCTCTGCAAACTGCCAGAGAGGAAATTTAGCCTGTAAGTTCTTCACACTTGAAGAAGAAGCTTTAAAATAGAAAGTCGTCCAAACCTTAATTTGAGCCGCCGAGCGCCCCTGCATGTGGCCTCCTCCCCCACTGCTCCTGCCTCAGAGCTGGAATCCTCCTGAGGACGGATTTCACACACTCTTTGCTGCCGTTCACATATGAATGCTGCATTACTGGGATTTACAGCACATGCACATGCTGGGAAAGCGCCACCAGACTGAGTGCGCACGTCGTGCTCCAGCGCTCACAGACTTAGATGTAGGAGGGGGCAGTTTATTTGGCATCACAGTTCCTCCCTCCCTCCCTCTCTTCCTCTCTCCTCCTGTCACTCCTCTTCTCTGCCGTATTTTCACCCCGCTTTTTATTGGTTGTCGGAGGCTCTCATTAGTTTCCCAGCATATGCTCAGCTTCCTCTTGCCTTTTAGTAATTGTGAAAGCTCGTGTAAGAGAGACAGGCGTGACTTGAGCTCGGCTTTTTGAAAGAAAAGAATTATATAAGCGACTTAGGGAGCCTCTGCTTTGAAGGAGGCTCAGACTCCCATCAGCTCAGAAACAAGGAGCTTCTGGAGTGTACCAGAGAGAAATGTGCATGCTGGACGAAAACATGAAGTTTAAAAATGGTCCATCTGTTTGAGGGAAGATGAGAAAAAACTGAAGAGTCTGACAGTGTGCACATAGTGCTCACCTACAGGAGTCCCTGAGATGCACAAAATCCCCAGTGAAACATGTGGGAGGCATTAACATTTTGTGACAGTGACCGATCACCAGTTTGCAACCACCAAGTGCTACTTTTCTCTTTTTTGAGAGGTCTGACATTTAGAAGAAAATGCTAAGCTACCCTGGATAATCCACCAACTTGACTTAACCTTTTCTAAATAATGGAGGGTGTCCGTGCAAGATGGAAGCAGTGGGAGAAGTTCCTCCTGTAGTGTTTCAAACATGCAGGTGTGCACATCAATTTGCTTAAATTACTTACAACGAATGAATAAAGGAGTTCCTTATGTGTAGTCTTAAAGAAACCAGGAGTCTAAGAGGGTTTCAAATGTGTTTTTCAAGATTAACATGCAGCTGGAAAAAAGTTTTATGTGTGAATTTCGGAGGATGGATCAACTTCTTCATTTCTGTGATCTCACAAATAAAATATCTTAAGTCTTAAGATTCTGATAAGATCTGAGATCCATGTCAATAAAAAAGCTGTGTTCATCCTGAGGAGCCCAACATTTAAAGGCACAATTCAACAGCTGATGATTGTTGAATGATGATTGATGATTTTTGTTCTAATTCAGCTTTTATCCAAATTGCTTGGGTCTGTATTAAGGCTGCCTTTCATGGTTAGATTTTGACTTTTTAAGTTGGGCCCTGACCTCAGGGATTAATTAGTAAGACTAAACCGAAGGCACCTTGAATGAAGTTTGTCCCATCTCAAAAACAAAGAAACAAAAGGTTAGTCAGTTGGTCAAGCGTTGCCTTTGCTCATTACAAAAAACTTTTGGAAATGACAGAAAGTCACAAACTCCTCCGCAGAGTCTTGTTACCATAAAAATGCATTTTTCTGTGCTTTAGTCCTTTGATGATAGAGAAACTTTGGTTTATTGATTTCTCCTCCGCTGTGTGCAGCTCTTCATTAACAGTTTTTAACAGAATGGCATCATTTTGCTCCTGTTGATGCAAGCATTTTGTGATGACGATGACGATACAACTTTGAGACGTTTCCTTTTTTTCTGTACGTCTCTGCAGTTTGCTTTGCAAAGAAAAAAGTAGGTCAAAGCGGCTGGGGACCCTGTAAGCTTTTTGACAGACTTCCAGATCCCTTGGATGTTGGTCTCCAGAGAAGAGAAGGCGATATTTAGGGCAAAGCCCCGCACACCAATCTCTTTGCTCTCAGCTTGTGCATTGGAAAGCTGTGAACACAACATTTTTTTTTAGAGAAAGATGGATTAATGCTGAATATGACGCAGCTCGCGGGACTAATGATGGGAGGAAATGTTCGGATGGGTTTGTGATGGAGGCTGTCTGCTCCACTGTTGCTTTTAGGAGATGACTTTGTGCCTCTGTCAGAGCCTCATCCAAGCTGTAACCACGATGGTAAAAAGGTAAAGAACAGAGTGAGGGCAAAGGAAGTGGAAGGAAGAAAAATAAATGGCTCAGTCAAGCTGAATGCCCGGGTCTTCTGTCTCAATGGGCAGTCCACAATGTGTGTTAATTCAGCCTTCACAAAGAGCCTTGGAGCAAGGCTTCCCCAAACCAGCAAACAAATCACTTCCCGAGCCCCATTAGTATTCTGTAGACGGCTCTCCATTCTTTGTGTTGTGAGATGAACAGTGAAATAGGAAACAGATTCAAGTCATAGGTGCAGCTACCATTTTGAAGGGGTCACTTGAGGTGTCTTGTCTTGTTTTGGGCTTCAGCAAGTTCACCCAAAAGAGTCTGAGTGCGTGGGCAGAATGCACTCATGTGAAGCTCTCTGCTTCCTGCAAGTCCTTTGAGATTTTGGGCATAATTACATCTTTTATTTCTCCATGTGAACCCGTTAGCTTGAGCTGAGCTGATGCGTTTTGAACGAGGTTTCTGTTTTCTTAAAACATCTTTCTCTGTCGGATGGCGACCTGTACACGTTTCCAGGTGTAGAATGGCTTTAAAAAATATGTTGGATGTGTAATTGATCAATATCATTGTTTTTCCAGTGAGCTTTGCCACTTGTGTATGACTGCTTTACAGCTGTTTCTGACTGTGTGTGTCCAGCTTGTCTGTGTTTTCCCATTTTTTACTAAACTGACTCATTATCGTCTACAGAACAGGTTCTTCTGATCAACCCAAAGCCCAAAGATGACATTTTTCACTAGGTTTTATTACTGTCCCACAGTCCTACAGTAGTTAGGCTGGGAAATTTCATCGAGCCAGTGTATTTTTTCTTCAAAGTTGGGACTTTTTGGTATTAGAGCGGCCCGCGACAGCAGAATTCCGGATGACTTCTGGCTTCAGGTCCACGGTGCAGCAAGCTGCTCAAAATATCTAATTAAAACTTTCCTTCCACTTTGCAGCGCCCTACAGCAGAAGCTGTACACAACATTAATAAAATGCCCTGCTAACTGGTTAAAACGTGAGCATCTTATTGTAGTTTTCTAAACTCATTAAGGATGCCTGATGAACAGATAATGCTCCTCCGACTTCTCAGCTGTTAAATTATTACATAAATGAAAAGATTTAGTATTGTAACTACAGAAGACCAGTTTTAAACCTAGCATTCTCCGTGTTAGTGGTGCTGTGAAGTGTGTAATTTTAGTCTTTGGTTGTGCAGATTTTTTGTAAAAGTTGAGGGGAAACAAAGGAGACTCGTACATATCTTTAAATCAACATATTTGACATATATACACCATATATTACCAAGCATAAGTACACCTGCCCCATAGTGTCCAAACTTACAAGAGCTGCCCGTAAAAAAGTCAGTATTTTGGGTTTTAATCTATTTCAGTCAATTCCATGTCTGATATCTTCAGAAAATTTGGAGCTCATTTTTTTCTTCTTATTTTTTAAAACACATCAAACATAAATGTGAGATCCTGGTTACATTTTCAGCGAGTTCATCACAAGGCACAGAATTTAGAAACGGAATAACAGAAACCTCGAAGTCCCTTTTGCTACAGTAAACAAGTTATTTCTGAAAAACCACTCGCTCACCACTCACTGATAAATTATGCACCTACATATATTCTATTAAACATGAACGCATAAATATTTTATGTGCTTTGGTTTACTGTCCTCCTCTCACACCCAAACTATTTGGAACAAGCTTTTAATGTTTTAATAAAGCAGAAACGTGTTTGCTGTTTCAGCAAAAATGTGAAGATGCTGCAAAATCAATAGAACCTGAAGCCCTGCTGCTGTTTCCCCAAAAAATTATGATGGATGAGAGATTTTTTGGTCTATTAAGCCCTTGTTGTTGTTGCAGTGTAACTAAATTGGATTTTACTTTAGGAATAGACAAGTGATCCAGCAAACCGTATCTGCTTTTTAATGAGTTTGAATAAAACACAACACTGTTATTTTTCCAGGTTCAGTTTAAGCAATAAAAACGTGTGGAAACGCTCCTTTTTTCCCCCTTTCCTTACCGGTGGACATGACACCATTAGGTTAAACTCTATAGTTTTTTTTTTTTTAGATAAGTGGAGACACATCAGTGTTCTTCTCATATTTGTATTCTTTGGACACATAACACCAAAATGTTTATAGAAAAGAAAGTTGAAGTTGAAAATGATTGAAGATCAAGAGGGCTTTTGTTGCTCATTCCACCATCATGGAACCACTAGTCAGGCGTCAGGCTGATGTAAAGGGAACATAGTCTTCACAGGTGGGTTTAGATAAAAGGATGCGCACACGAAAATAAATTTGTAGGCAAATGTGAGTGAGTGGTGAAGAGGCACAACAGCCAGAAGGCAAAGCTTCTAGTGTACCACTCCACCTTTGGTCACAGATCTGGGTAGTGACCGAGAGAATGAGGTTACAGATATGGGCAGCTGAAATGGTTTTCACCCTTTTAGCCTTACAGATGGGGAAAGAGCCCACCATCCAGAAGAGACTCGGGGTAAAGTCACTGCTCTGGTGCACTGAAAGCTCTAAATTTAGCTTGTGGACTCCTGTTAGCTTCTCTTTTGAGGACAGCTGGAGAGTGTAGTTTGGAACAGTGATGTCTGGATCCCTCTCCTAAACTGAATGCTCTGGCCTCTCTTTGTTGTGTCTTTTAATACCATTGTACCCTTCCAGATGTGGACTTTGTCACCCAAGTGTTAATAGGCTAGAGTAGTTGCCTTAGGTTTGAATGCTCATAGATTCTTCTAGATGTTTCGAATGTCAATACCATAATTTAAAAATGGCTGAACCGGCTGTCCCCTATTGATCAACGCATCTTCCATCTTTGGTCTCTCCAGTCAATTATAATAGTAATAATAATAAGGAAATAAGTAGACGTGATTCTGAAATACTGCAGCATTAAGCACTGGAATCACACAATTTAATTAAATCTGTACAGGAACTGAGGATCAGGCAAGTGATCAGCATAACAGGCAGGATGTGACCTAAGCCTGTTCTACAATTACAGGAAAAGTTATTTTAGAGGTTATCAGACTGTCAGAAGGTGAGCAAAAGGGACAAGTACACAGGGCAGATAAGCGTCTGTCAGGAGTCAGGGGCCAGAAGATGAAAAGTAGGAATAAGGGAAGATTTCTGAAATGCTTGAAGATGGAGA